ATTTCTCCATCCTCCCAGCCCTTGGCAACCACTGGTCTTTTGCTGACATAGTTTTGCCTTTTGCAGAATGTCACACAACTGGAATCATACAGTATGTAGCCTTTCCAGATTGCCTTCTTTTAAAATCCTCACTCAAAATCAGGCTTAGAAAGAGGAAAGGAGAGAGTCAACGATGTGAGAGAGAAACATCAATCGGTTGCCTCCCATTCCCAAGCCCACAGCCCAGGTGTGTGCCCTGACCAGGAATTGAACCAGCAACCTTTCAGTGCACAGGACAACACTCAACCAACTGAGCCACTCTGGCTGCCTTAGGTTGCCTTCTTTAGTCATATGCATGTAAGGTTCCTCCATGGCTTGATAGCTCATTTCTTTTTAGTGCTGAATGATGTTCTGTTGTGTGATGCACCACAGTTTATTTATCTATCCACTCACCTACTGAAGGACATCTTGGTTGCTTCCAAATTCTAGCAACAATGGATAACGCTGCTGTGACTGTCTGTGTGCAGGGGGATTGTGGGTCCTTTGTTGCACTGATTGCCTGATTTTTTCACTCAGTGTTTGTTTTCCTGACTTCCCCCGCTGGCACGTGAGCTCCATTGGACCAAGAAACCTCTGCTGTCCCTGTGTGTGTTCTCTAGACCAGCGGTCGCCAACCTTTCGGGCCTCTAGTTTAGTATGTTCACAATGTGTGCAGCCATCACCTCTGTCTGGTTCCAAACATTATCATAACACCAAAAGGAAACTCTGTACCTACTCACCCTCCTCCCCTCTGCCTCTGGTAACCGCCACCCTGTGTCCCGTCTCTATGGATTTACTTGTTTTGGATATTTCATATAAATGAAATCATTCTCTCAGAGAGCATCATGCCCTCGGGGTTCATCCACATGGTAGCATGTATCAGAACGGTTTTTTTTTTCTGTCTGAGTGATATGTCACGCTACATATATAATGCATTGTGTTGATTCATTCTTCCCTTGATGGATCTCTGGGCTGTTTTCACCCTTTGGCTATTGTGAATGATGCTGGTGTGTGCACTCGAACTTGTTTGAGAACCTGTTTTTAATTCTTAGGAGTAGAAATACAGGCTCATATGGTAATTAATACTTTGAGGAACTGCCAAAATATATATTTCCTTTTTAAATAGTAACTTTACTAGGGAAATTAGGTGGGAAAACCCTGGATAGAAGTCAGGAAACTTGGGTTCTTTTCCTCGCTTTTCCATTAACCAGCTGTGTAACCTCGAGCAAACCCTGTCCCTTTCCGGACTCCCGTTTCCTCATCTGAAAAGCGTAAAGCTAAATAATTCTTAAACTCCCTCCACTTTTAAGAATTTACTGGGAGAAGATGGGTCCCAGGGAGAATTGTCAAACAGCTATCGGTGATTGACTCTGTGTTCTTTTTCTGCTGTGGTTTTAAATTGTGAGTTAAAAGCACCATACATAATTGGGCTCCCCACCCACTCCCCAGCCAGTATTTCTGGTTAATGAATAGCTTCTGGCTTCCTCTTTCCATGGGGAATAAGGCAGCTCCCTGGCCGTCATGAAGCTGAGACTGGAGCCGTCCCACTGTCCTCCCTGAAGGCTGGCTGTGCCTGTCCGGGCTGCTTCTCCAGCTCTGAGGCTTCAGCTGGGTAACCTGGGCCTGGTCTTCGGAGAGGTGGGAGGCAAAGAGGAGGCACAGATCTGAGAGAGTCCGGAGGAAGAATGGGAGACCTGCTGTGATGCTCTTAGCCAGAGGGTCCCACCCTGGATACCTTCTACTTTCCTTGTTCTTCTCCAGCTGAGTGGCTCCCCAGCCAGAGCGCATGCCTGGGTAGGGAGGGTTTTCCTCCACTGGATGCTGCAAGGGCCCACAGTTTGTGCTCTCCTGTACCACCTGGTGGTTTTCTGGGGGAATATGAGGTTTATAAAACACGCATGTACGAGTGGTTTATTTCATTTGTCAGTCATGTGTCCATTTTTCCTTCATCCATCCACCACATATTTTTTTTGAGTGCCCGCTATGGTTTAGGCCAGTGGTCGGCAAACTGTGGCTCACGAGTCACATGCAGCTCTTTAGCCCCTTGAGTGTGACTCTTCCACAAAATACCACATGCAGGCGCACGTACAGTGAGACTGAAACTCCGTGGCCCATGCGCAGAAGTCGGTTTTCGGCTCTCAAAAGAAATGTCAATCGTTGTCCTGTTGATGTTTGCCTCTGGTGACTAATGAGTTTGCTGACCACTTGTTTAGGCACAACACGATGTGAGCATCTAGGAATAACCAAGACCAGGCACCTCCCTTATAGAGCCTTTTTATGGGGGATACAGAGTGGCTTCTAGAAAGAATTCTAAGTGACAAATGCTTTGATGGGGTGTGGGGGCGTCAGTGGTGTTCAGGGGTGCAGACAAGGGGCACATAAGTCATACCTGGCACATCCTATTGAGAGAGGGTGGGTTCGAAGAGCAGTCTAGACAGACGTTAACCTGTGCAGCCGTCAGCCAGCAATACAGCCCTGCCGAGACCTGGTAGAAGGCCCGTAGACGCAGGGGAGGAGGTGAGAGAGGAGAGTGCCATGGGGGCTGCCATTCGGGGCCTCTGAGCCACACCAGGGACTCCGGCTCTCACTTTCAGGCAGCCGTGAGCCGGTGAGTGTGACTAGGGGAGTGGCGTAGGGTTTATATTTGCCCTTGAGTGATGCCCACTCTGGGCATGGGTGGAGAATGAGTCAGAGGGGCAAGAGTAGAAGCGGGGAGACCACTGACGTCTTTCTACAGTGACTGGCATGAAACGATGGTGACCAGCACTGAGGGGGAAGCAATGGGAAGGGGGGAGAGGGAGGGAGCCCGGAAATATACCTGAGGTTGGGGCTGGTGCTGGCCCAGCTTCCAGGAGAGAAACTGCTGAAACCCAAGTCAGAATCCTTTAGCTCCCCACCCCACCTCCACCGCCATCCCCACCCCCGTTCTGGCACAGCGGGGCACCTCAGCCTCCGGGTCTTCAGAAATGTGACCTTGTCTCCGGGAGAAGCCCTGGAGCCCTGCACTCTCAGAGGGGGTAGGTGGGAGATGGTGGGCACACAGAGCAGGCTTCAAGTTGCTGCCCCCTAGGAAGACAGATGTGTGTCCATGTTGAGAGGTGGCTATTGGTCCACGAAAGCCGGAAGCATTCTGCGGAACCTGCTCCCATCCGGTTTGGCCCAACCTCATGGTGGAATAGCAAACTGGACCCATTTTTTAAGACTCCTGTTCCAAAACCTCGGTAATCTTAAAGCTCTGCATCTGAGGGTCCGCTGTAGGCCACTCTTGATCTTGTCCCTCAGGAGGAAGGAGAAGGTTTGTCTCTTAAGGACCCACTCCAGGCTTTTCGGGCTGCCACGTTCACCCCCTGCGCCTCCGACTCTGAAATGATGTCTTGTTTGAGGATATTAACCTTGGGCTAGTGTAAAGTTGCTCCTTTACCAGCCCCCTGGGACCCTCTTTTCCTGGGCCATCATCTCAGCACTGCCAGTACCTCTTAAGGGACACGTCAGGGGCTGCCACCCCTCAGCCGCCCACAATATCTGCAGAAAGCATGCACTTTTTAAAAAGTCCTTTGGGCACCCTGGCCAGTGTGACTCAGTGGTTAGGGTGTCAGATCATGCACTGAAGGGTCTCAGGTTTGATTCTTGGTCAAGGGCACATACCCGGCTTGCAGGTTCCATCGCCAGCCTTGGTCAGGGCATGTGCAGGAGACAACCAACCGATGTGTCTCTCTCACATTGATATTTCTCTCTCTTCCCCCATCCTTCCCTTCTTGCCACTCTCTCTGAAAAATCAATGAGAGAAAAAATGTCCTTGGGTGAAAATGAACAATAAAAAAAATCCTTTAAGCAACCAAGTTTCGCTATTTAACTCCTGACCCCCAGGGCTGTCACCTTCACCTTGTCCCCCTCCCTGGATCACAGGACATCAGCCCCTACCCCAAACACTCAAACACAGACCCACTCAGCCTGGGTGGTTCCAAGGAGCTGTGAGATTGGTGCGTTTATTGCTTGACAGGTTTATGGCATCTTCTAGGTACTGGGCCCATGGAATTCTGCTGCCAGGTCTGTTGAGTGAGGCAGGTTTGCTAGGGTGGGGCTTGTGCAGCACCAAACTGGGGGTCATCCAGGAGGCCTGGGTTTTTCTTGCAACTCCTTTACCCACCAGCTATGTGACCCTGACCACGCGAGGGCCCGAGTTTCCGTGTACAGAACACAGAGAGGGTGGACCCTCCAGGCTGGGGAGGGCAGGGCACTCCGGCTCTGGGTTCCACCGGTGGTACTGGAGCTGAGGAGTTCTTGCAAGGTGAACCCATGCTAGGAAATAGAGGACCTTGACATCTGTGCGAGGACGCTGGGTCCTTGTTTTCAGGACCGTTTCATCCAGAGTTGCCCTGCCTTCTAGAACAGTGGTTCTCAACTCCAGGTGGTTTTGTCCCCCAGGAGACACTTGACACTGTCTAGAGACATTTTTGATTGGTGGCAGAAGTGGGCTCTGCTGGCATCTCTTGGGTAGAGACCAGGATGCTGCTATACATTGTACAGTACCTAAGACTGTTCCCACACAGAGAATTATTGGGTCCCAAATGTCAATAGTGCAAGGTTAAGAAGCCCTATTTTATTTATTTATTTATTTTTAATATATTTTATTGATTTTCTTACAGAGAGGAAGGGAGAGGGAGAGGATGAGGGACAGGGAAAGAAGTAGAGAGTGAGAAACATTGATGAGAGAGAAACATCGATCAGCTGCCTCCTGAACACTCTCTACTGGGGATGTGCCTGCACCCAAGGTACATGCCCTTGACCTGAATCGAACCTGGGACCCTTCAGTCCACAGGCCGACCCTCCATCCACTGAGCCAAACCGGTTAGGGCAAGAAGCCCTATTTTAGAACAGTGGTCTGTGACCAAGGGGACCTTTGCGTCCTTCTGGCCCTGTAGGATTGCTAGAACAAACCATGAGTTTAAGAAATAACTCACTCGTTGAATTTCTTTCCACAGCTGAGCTCTGTCTGGGAGGCTGAGTCAGAGCAGCTGGAAGCAGCAAGACCCCGCCAGCCGGCCGGGGAACGGGGAGCGGGGCTCAGCGCTGAGGATGGCCGGGCCGCAGCCACCACCCTGGGTCCACGCTGCTGTCCTCCTCTGCCTCCTCGGCCTTGGCGGGGCCATCGAGATTCCTATGGATCGTGAGTTCTCCTTCCTCATTTAATCTTCCGACTTGGGGTAGAGGGAAGTTAAGACACACTTCTGAAGAAGGTTGAGGGGTTAGGGGGAATTGGATTCCAGATGCAGAGCTGGGTTTCCCAAAAATGGAAGCAGGCGGCTGGTGCTTTGGAGAGTGAGACTGTCAGTCTGCAGGGGTCTCCCCTGCCTCCACTGCCTGGGACCTGCTGAGCAGGACTAGAAGTGGCAGAGTTTGGACATCTGAGTGTCCTCTGTGGTCTTCACTTGCCCATCAAAGGGACCAAGTGAGTGGGTGATTCTTTGCCTCTTTCCTGAGCTGGATCCTCCGGGCCCTCTTAGCTGCACTGCCCAGGAGGTCGGGTGGCTGGGAGCGGGTTGGGAAGGGATTATTTTGCAGACAGCTGTGGCTGCATGAGACACTGAAATAGAGCCCATTAGAATGCCCCTGTGGGAGAACCAGGCACTGGTTCCAGAGCTGAAAAGTAAAATCCATGCCGTTCTGTTTCCTATGGGCGGGGCATCACGTGGCCCTCAAAATCACAAGGTCAGGGGCATGGCCTGCCGAACACACCGTGTCGCCACCAGCCGAATCTGCGGTGCGTTCTTGATGACCAACTGACAGGCAGCCATGCTCCTCGGCCCTGCATTTTGAGGTGCACCCACCGCCTTTGCCACAGCCCTGACACTCCTATCAGGATGTCTTGCATCCCATGCTGAGACATGGGCACACCACCTCTGTGCCCCGTCCCCTGATTCTAGGAACGAATGGAGCCCACTTGATGCCAGAGTTGACTTGGGCTCTCTCCAGGTGACAGATGTCTGGGGAGGGGTGGGAGAGTTACACTTCTCCAAGAAATCTCCACGGAGCTCTCCGCAGCCAGGCCCTGGGGCCTGGAGGTAGCAGAGCTTCGAGAAAAGTTGCAGGTGTCTCAGCCCCTCCCACCCAGTTCACCAACAGGAGCTGCCCTCGAGGAGTGGGCACTTGGGATGAGAGAAGGCCAGAGAAACTATAGGGTAGGCCCGGAAGTAAGATGGACAAGGCCCCTGCTGTCCTCCCGGTAGCCCAACGTATGTGTGTGTGATTAGGGGTAAGGGGTAGGCAATATACACATACACACACACACACACACACACACACTCAGGGATGGGGACAGGGGAGTTGTGAGAGGAACTATTCCATGGAGACCATCTGTACAGCTGGCTCAAGGAGATTCTCATTAACAGGCCCGGCAGACAATCTAATAAGGAGCACGCTAGGCCCTCCCTCCCCCTGGTGATGAGGGGCTGCTGAGGAAATTGGTTATCAAGGAAGTGGTGAAGGCTCATTTCTCTTCCACCGCTTCTCCTCCCTCCCTCACCTGCCACTTTGATCCCCGGGGCTGGTAGGTGAGCAGTTCCTGCAAGGTGAACCCATAAATAGATGGCCTTGACATCTGGGCTAGACTCTGGTTTTCTGGAGCTCTGCCAAGCCACAGGCAGGTGACCGAGCTGTCAGTCTCTTCCAGTATCACCGACGGAGCCCAGAGCTGGAGTGCCCTGCCGTCCCCAGCCTGGAGGGTACATCCTCTCTGCGTTCTGTTCATGGAAACTCGGGCCCTCGCGTGGTCAGGGTCACACAGCAGATGGGTAATGGAGAAGAGTTCAGATCTCTTAACAACCCCCGATTTGGCACTGCACATGCCCCACACTGACCTCTAGCAAACCTGCCTCCTTTCAGTTCTTAGAACTTTCCAGAGTAGCAGTGCCCAGCAGAGAGCTGAGTACCTTCCGGCATCGGGTCCTATGATTCTCACAGCTAATCCATGAAGTATGTGTTGTCCTTAGTTGACAGGTGAGAAATCTGAGATAGGGAGAAATAGAGCTGTTTCTCCAGCTCATTAGTGGCAGGGCCAGCATGTAGTTACAGCGCCCTTCTGAACCAGATGAGTCCATCGCGACACATTCCAGCACACCAGGCTGTCTCAGGAAACTCGCTGCCTCACGCACCTCCCTGGTGACTGTGGGCACAGTTGCCATAGTGAATTCTCCAGAAAGAGTCTACAAAAGCTGAACACAGGACAAGAGAAAGGCAAGCCCTTCAGTTGCCCTGGGGAGAGCTTTTCACCCCTCCTGCTTCCCAGATGATTTGGATTCATCCTTCCTTCTCGCCCAGTGGAAGAGGCTGGGGAAAGATCAGTTATTCCTTTTCCCACCCAGTTTTATTGAGGTATTATCTATACTAATAAAAGGGTAATATGCTAATTAAACTGGACAAAGCAGCAGCTGCGGATGGCGGCTGCTGCTGCCAGGCCAGGCCGAGGCTCAGGCAGCCACAGCGGCCAGCAGTGGCAGCAGCAGCAGCGTGATAGGGGTGTCACCTTCCCCTGATCCACCTGGTCGCCTCCCTCAGAGGGAGGCCAGAGGTAGCAGCAGTGAGGGGGTGATAAGGGTGGTGCCTTCCCCTGATCAGCCACTCACCTCTCATAGAGGGAGGCCAGACTGTGGCTAAGCTGTCAGTAGGACATTCCTTGAGGGCTCCCAGACTGTGAGAGGGGGCAGGCCAGGCTGAGGGAACCCCCCCACCACCAGTGCACGAATTTTTGTGCACCGGGCCTCTAGTTGATATATAACATCTGTAAGTTTCAGAAGTACAACTTGATGATTTGCTACATGTGTAAATGACTAAATGATGGCCACAGTAGGGTTAGTTAACACATCCATCTCCTCATGTGATTACCATTGTGTGTGTGTGGCAATGTCTTATAAGGTCTACTCTCTTAACAACTTTCAAGTATAACATAGTACAGGCAACCTCATTATTGTGCTTTACAGATGCTGCCTTCCTTACAGATCGAAGGTGTGTGGCAACCCCCCATTGAACAAGTCTACTGGCACCATTCTTTCAACAGCATTTATTCACTTTGGGCCTCTGAGTTCCATTGTGGTCATTCTTGCAATATTTCAAACTCTTCCATTATTGTTATACTAGAGGCCTGATGCACAAAGATTCATGCAAGGAAGGGCCTTCCTTTCCCTGGCTGCAGCACCACCTTCCCTCCTGCCCAGAGCCACCTTTCTGCCTTTGCTCTGGCCCTTTCCACCTTCCCACACTGCCCAGAGTCCTGGAGCTGCTGGGCAGTATGGAATGCCTGCGTCATCACCACCCTGCCCCAGGCTGCTCGGTACCTGCTTATGCAAATTAACCCACCACTTTGTTGGGTTAATTTGTATACTCCTGATTTGCTGGTGGGTGTCCTGAAGGTGCAGTCAATTTGCATCTTTCTCTTTTATTAGTGTAAATTTGTTATAGTGATCTGTGATTAGTGACCTTTAGTGTTACTATTGAAGCTATCTTGGGGCACCACCAATCATGCCCATATACAATGGCAAACTTAATTGATAAATGTTGCATGTGTTCTGACTGCTCCACTGCTTCCCTGAGAAACAACATGTTTCAATTAGGCCAATCAGTAACCTTACTATGGCCTCAATGTATTCAACTGAAAGGAAGAGTCGCATGTCTCTCACTTCAAACCAAAATCTAGAAGTGATTAGGCTCAGTGAGGAAGGCACATCCAAAGTCAAGACAGGCCGAAAGCGGGGCCTCTTATGCTGTAGAGCCAAGTTGTGGATGCAAAGGAAAGATTCTTGAAGGAAATGAAACATTCTTATCCAGGGAAAAGACAAAGGATAAGAACTCAAAACCAGCCCATCACTGATGTGGAGCATGTTGTGGTGGCCTGGCTGGAAGATCAAACCAGCCACATGTCCTTAAGTCAGTGGTTGGCAAACTCATTAGTCCACAGAGCCAAATATCAACAGTACAACGATTGAAATTTCTTTTGAGAGCCAAATTTTAAAAACTTAAACTTCTTCTAATATCACTTCTTCAAAATAGACCCGCCCAGGCCATGGTATTTTGTGGAAGAGCCACACTCAAGAGGCCAAAGAGCCGCATATGGCTCGTGAGCCGCAGTTTGCCGATCATTGCCTTAAGTCAAAGCCTAATCCAGAGCAAGGCTTTGACTCTGTCTAATTGTATGAAGGCTGTGAGAGGTGAGGAAGCTGCAGACAAAACATTTGAAGCTAGCACAGTTAGGTTCATATGTTTTAAGGAAAGGCTGTCTTCAAAACATAGAAGTGCAAGGTGAAGCGGCAGGTGCAGATGTAGAAGCCACAGCCAGTTATCCAGGAGACCTAGTCAAGATAACAAACAAAGATAATTGCACTAAACAACAGATCTTCCGTGTAGGTTAAACAGCTTGCTATTGGAAGACGTTGTTACCAGGACTTTTATAACTAGATGGGAGAAGTCAATGCCTGGCTTAAAAGCTTCCAAGGACAAGCTGGCTCTCTTGTTAGGGGCTAATGCAGCTGGTGACTCTAAGATGAGCACTCTAAGATGCTCATTTGCTATTCCAAAACTCCTAGGGCCATTAAGAATCACACCAAATCTACCCTGCCTGTGCTCCATAAATGGAGCAACAAAAACTTGGTGACAGCACATCTCTTAATAGCATGGTATATAAAATATTTTAAGCCCACTTTTGCACCCTACTGCTCAGAAAAACAATATTCCTTTCAAAATATTACTGCTCATTGACAATGAACCCAAGAGCCCTGCTAGAGATGTACAAGGAGATTAATGTTATTTTCATGACTGCTAATACATCATCTTTTCTGCATCCCATGGATTAAGGAATACTTTTCACTTTCAACTCTTACTATTTAAGGAATACATTTTGTAAGGCTATAGATTCCATAGATAGTGATTCTCTGGCGGATCTGGGCAAAGTAAATGGATTCAACATTCTAGAAGTTATTAAGGACATTCATGAGTCGTGGGAAGAGGTCAGAATATCAACATGACCAGGTGTTTGAAAGAAGTTGATTCCACCCCTCCTGGATGACTTTGAGGGGTTCAAGGCTTCAGTAGAGGATTTAACTGTGGATGGGTTGGAAACAACAAATAAGTAGAATTAGAAGTGAAACCTGAAAGTGTGACTGAGTTACTGCAATCTCATCATCAAACTCTAAAGGATGAGGAATTGCTTCTCATGGATGAGTAAGGAGAGGGATTTTTCTGAGATAGAATCTATTCTTGGTGAAGATGCTAAGAAGATTGTTGAAATGACAACAAAGGATTTAGAATGTCACATAAACTTGCTGCTAAAGCAGAAGCAAGGTTTGAGAGGACTAACTCCAGTTTTGAAAGCAGTTCTGTGCATAAAATGCTATCAAACAGCATCGCATGCTACGAGAAATTGTTAGTGAAAAGAAGAATCCATCTATCCGACAGACTTTATTGTCATCTTATTTTAAGCAATTCCCACAGTCGCCCAACCTACAGCAAACACCACTTTGATCAGCCATCAATGTCAAGGCAAGAAGACCCTTAAGGCTCCGGTGATGGTTTGCATTTTTTCAGCAACACATTCTTTTTTAATTAAGCTAAGTACATTGTTTTTAGACATAATGCTATTATACACTTAGACTCTAGAATAGTGTAATCATTTTTTATATGCACTAGGAAATAAAAAACTCCCTGTGATTCACTTTATTGCAATATTGGCTTTGTCGTGGTGGTCTGAAAGGAACCCCCTCCAAGGTATGCCTACCTATATTGTTCATTAGAGTTGCTATGCTGTAAATTAGATTCCTAGAATTTATCTGTCTTAAAGCTGGAAGTGTGTACCTTCTGACCAATATCACTCTCCCCCTAGACGTTGGCAGCCACCATTCTATCCCGTTCCTTGAGTTTGACTTTTTTAGATTCCACATGTAAGTGAGAACTCACAGGATGTGTCTTTCTCTGTCTGGCTTCTTTCACTTAGCATAATGCCCTCCAGGCCCATCCATGTTGTGGCTTGCCAGGACATGGGGACAGCCTAAGAATAGGCACTTCACCTTCCCTGTGAGTTGGGGGTAGGGGGAGTAAGGGGGCTCAGGCCAGAGGCTGCCCCACCGGGTGTGCCCTTCTGCGCCCTTGCCCCTTCGGGGGCATTTTCTGTGCAGGAGGATAGGGCATTGCTTCTGCTTCTGCTCCGGGGAGTTGGGTGCAGCAGGCTTCCAGGAACAATGCCCTGGGCTGCGACCCAGCCCCTCATTGAAGTGCCTGGCCTCCAGTCACCACCACTCTGCCAGCGGAGTCACATGCACTCCCTCCCCTGCCCAACCTCAAGGACAGTATGACCTTTGAAGAAAGCAAAGAGTCACCTCACAGCCAAAGAGGGCTTGCCAAAAAGTGAATCTGCTGGCAGCTTCCCTGTCTCCCTCCCACATCAGGGGACTCAGCGTTTTTCTGCCAGGAACCCACAGAGGAGGGCAGTGGTGGGGTACTCCTCACCATCATCCCAAACGGTGTTGCAGGAGGGCTCAACACTCACATTCACATTCATTCACACTCACTCCATCCTCCGAGGGATAAGCCCAGAGGTCACAGATCAGAGTCAGGGGAAGAAAAGGGGTGCATGAATTCTGGGCCGCATCTGCCTCACCTCCTGCAGATTCACTTGGAAGATTTTCCTCCATCTTGGGAGCCAAAAGAACAAATGTATTCTCCACTCTGCATTCGTCATCCGACAAGTTCTGTAGGAGAGAAGGGCAGGTGGTTTGACACCGGATGGAGAATGTGGCGGCAGGGGACGGGGAGAGGGGGAGAGGGGATTAGAGGGAGCACAGGACTAGGCAGGCGGTCCCTACTGTTTTCTCCCTGTGGCAGCTTGTCTTTCGGGTCAGTTGTGTCCCTGTAATAAAGTCCTTGGTGGCACAGTATGGCCGCAGATGTCATTACCTCTTGAGGCAAGTGGCTTCTCAAGGAGGCCCTGGCCTGATTTCGGTGTGGGGCCGGGGCACAGTAGAGCTGTCTGGTGTCCGGATCCCGGCAGCTCTAACTGCCCCGTGCATCTCTTCTCCCTCAAGGTCTTCCTCTGACTTACCTCTGTCCAGAATGTCAAGGAGAACGGAGGCCAAGGCCAAGGCCAAGGCAACAGAAGGGCTGGTTCTCACCCCTGTCCTGTAACAGACTTCCGGGGGGATCTTGACAAAGGACTTCCCTCCCCTGGATTCGACTCCCTGGAGAACATCTAGGGATCTCTCCACTGAACCAGCATTTGAGTTGATAAAAGAGAGGCAGGAAGCCCACCCGGGCAAAGCAGAGCCTTTGTGAGCTCCCCGTCCTGGGTAAGGCCAGAGCCTTCAGCTGGGAGAGAGGACCTGGGAGACACCAACTGTCTCTTGAGATGATAAAGAGGGCCTGGGTTGAGGTCAAAGGGCTGGGTCAAGTGTCAGCCCTGCTTCTCCTGAAAGTGGCCCCTTCTCCCAACCTCCCACACCCCCGTGAGAGGACACACCGTCCAAAACCAGCCCCACTGCTGTCAGTCCTTCCAGAAACCCCCCTGCGGGTGAAGCTGCTCAGGGGGAGCTCCGCGGAGCACACGTTTACAATCCATAAGACTTCTGCTCCCCCCTACCCTTCACCCCCAGGCGTTTCATTTCTTATTATTTCCTACTCAGGAGGCCAGATGGAATTCTTCTTCTGTGCCCGAGCAGGCCACACACACCCAGGCCACTTGAAAGAATTACTCTGACCCTTTTCGTGGGTCTTTCACGGGCATCTCAGGGATGGCCACCAGCCCTTTTGTCTCTTTTGTAAAAAGCAGGGAGGGTGCCCAGTGATGACATCATCCTTGCTCCCCGTGCCCCCCGGGGCTGTGGGCGACACTATGGCTACCCCCAGGCTGGGCCAGTGGGCTGACGCCTGGGGGCTGAGGGCACGGGAAAAAAAAAAAAAAAAAAAAAAAAAAAAAGCAGGGAGGGATGTGCTGGGCCTCACTTCACCCACAGTGGTTCAGAAGCAGGATTTCCATAGGGCAGGGGGCTTCTGCCGGGAGCAGGGCACTCACCATTCATCTGTCTCCAGAGTAGTCCAGAGGCCGGCAAAGGAGGACACGATGAGGGAAGAAGGTGCTTTCTTGTGTGGGAGAGAGCAAGGGGCAGTGGGGGAGTGGGTCCATGGGCCTCGCTGGGCCCTTGGGGCTCTGTCCTGTAGCAGTGGTTCCACCCCTTCCCTGGCACGTGGCCTGACCCTGGCACGGCTGGCTGAGGAGCATCTCGAGGTGGCGGGTGGCATTTTCAGAGCCCAGCCTCCCTGGAGCAGGGCTGCCACTTTCAACATTTGGCCTCACCTGGTGGCACCTTCATTTGTCAGAAGCGGGTCTTTCTGCTCCGCTGCGTGGTTTGGTCTCGGGGGAGGCAACGCCTTCCCCACGAAGCAACTGCCTGGTGCCCGCACTCCAGCGTGGCTCCTCCACTGAGCTCTGCAGCTGGCAGGAGAGAACCCGGGCACAGTGCCCTCCTTCCCTCCCCCCCTCTCCTCCCCATCCTCCCGTCTCCCTCCTCCCTGCGTGCTGGGCCCTGCAGACCCCTGGCGACTGGTCTTGTGTGATAACTGATGTCTTCTTCTCTCCCCTCACAATGCTAACCCACCGGACTAACAGCCAGCATTCAGAACGAGCGTAAGTCCCGGGCGCCCCTCTGCACCTGTGCCTCTGGGGGTAGGATGGCAGAAAGGTGGGCAGGTGGAGGCCAAGTGAGGGCACACCGGGATCCTTGGCCTCTCCGCCCTGCCTGCTGCAGCTTCCTGACGCCAGCGCTCTGTATGAGGCCCCTTTCCACCCGGGAAGGGGGGAGGCCCAGCCTATGAAAGGCAGGCGGGTGAGAAGGGCCGTGCTTCCCGGTCCTCGGGCGGCTGGCACGGGAGCCCCGGGAGAAGGCAGCTCAGGACCGGGAGGGAGGAGATGCTGTCTGGCCTGCAGACAAGTCCCTGGGTAGTTTTCTGGGGACTAAAGCCTCTTTCAGCTCCATCCTCGCCACAGGTCGGCCATCTGTTGACCCTCCAGGGCTCAGAACCACCAGAGCCCCTAAGATCTGAAAATCGAGCTGCTTTTTGTTCCTATATTCATTCAACAAACGTTGACATTGTCCTAAGCATTGGACAGAAGAGTGGGTCACACAGAAGCCTGGCCTTCAGTTTCTCACGGGGATACGGGGACGTCATAAAAGGATTCCTCTTAATGGGTGTCCGACCCGCATCCCTTCCCCGCGCTCTCTGGATGGGCCCTGCCCACCCTGCTGGCTTGCTTTGCTGTGTGGTTTCCGACACTCTCACTTCCAGCCGTTCTCTGAACACTGACTGCCTGCCCTCTGCCCTGTTGCAGTGTCCCAGCCCCCGACCATCACCAAGCAGTCCGTGAAGGACCACATCGTGGATCCCCGCGATAACATCCTGATTGAGTGCGAGGCCAAGGGGAACCCAGCCCCCAGGTGAGCGCAGCGGCTGGAGAACCCCGCTGGGCGAGGGAGAACCCCCGCTGGGCGAGGGAAGGGGCTCCAGGAGGCCATTTCAGCTCCCCCGTGCCCCAGGCCTGATGACAGCTGGCCTCCGAGAAATTGCATTTACCATTCAGCCCACACTAGGCAGAAAGTATAGTTTGCAAAATTAGGAAATGTGGCTGATGAAGAAACTTGGGACCAGAAACTACGAGGCTTAAGGTCACACCGGTGCCAGGACCAGATACACTTTCTGGCTTCCAGCATAACACTGCCTGTGCTGCCATGCTCAGCTCAGAGCAGCCCCTCTCCCTAGCTCACTGAGTTAGTGCTGAGCTCGTCCCTGCCCGTGTGTGTGTGTGTGTGTGTGTGTGTGTGTGTGTGTGTGCACGTTAGCATCGATGGCAAGCACTGGCGACAAAGCAGCTTCCACAGGCTGGAGCTTCCAGGAGCCTCATGCCAGATTCAGGCCCAGACATGACCGGACCCCGTGTGTGTGGTTGGGGGTGGGGGGAGAAAGGAGGTGGGTGGCAACTTTCCCTGCCTTGCCTCCCCCCCACCCCCCACCCCCAAGTTCGCATGAGCCCGTGGGCCTGGAAGAGCAGAGCCTCCTGGCCCCCGGTGGGAGAAGCAGGGTTCACCCCGACGGGTCAGGCAGGGTTGGGGTGACCTTGCTTCTGGGGTCTGGGCTGCCCCATGTTCCTTTGTGGGGACAACGAAGAACGCTGAGCGGCCACGGCTGCTCCTGCTTCTTTAAGGTTATAACCTGGGCAGCTAAGACACGCGTTCTGGGCCATCAAGTGCGGCCTCGGCCTTACATCCCACCCTCTGAGCAGAGCACACAGCCACCTCACTTCCTTTAGAGGCCGTTATGAAATGAGGAGACAGGCGGAGCCGGCCAGCTCCCCGGAGTGTCCTGGGGGAATGGGGACTTGGGTTTGCATTCCTAGCTGGAGGGTGGGAAGCCCAAGGGCTGGGGGGGGGGGGGGGGGGAGGCTCTGACTCTGGATTTTAAAAAATAAAAATTGCTGCCCAGTCCTCCAAAGACAGTCCCCAGGGGCTGCTCGGTATGCACCGTGTGGAAGCGTGACTCCCAGCCTTGGCCGGTGCGAGTGCTGTAGGTGTCAGTGTTGTACGGGACCTGCTCCCCAGATTCACCTGCGGGGGAGGGGCAGGCGCTGCATGCAGGAGGCCCAGGTGGTTCTGCCATGTGTCCGTCCAGCTGGGCAGGTTGGTATGAAGGTTTTGTGACTGAGTCAGGGACTGGGGTCCTGAGATTGTCGCCTGGAGCCCGGAACCCACCCTGCTACCGTTGGTGGCTCCCGCCTTACTCCCATCCCCCCGTGGTCCGCAGCTTCCACTGGACTCGGAACAGCAGGTTCTTCAATGTCGCCAAGGACCCGCGGGTGTCGATGAGGAGGCGGTCCGGGACCCTGGTGATCGACTTCCGCAGCGGAGGGCGGCCGGAGGAGTACGAGGGCGAGTACCAGTGCTTCGCCCGCAACAAATTCGGCACAGCCCTGTCCAACAGGATCCGCCTGCAGGTGTCCAGTGAGTAGCAGGGCGAGGGGGAGGGGAGAGGGACAGAGTGGAGATGCCCTGCTCTTGGGCATCTTGGGGGTGGGGTGGGGGCAGGGACCATCATTCTAGAAGGACCACCCCTGCCTTTGTGTGAGGAACAACAACTCGGACACAGCCTGGCACGGGGCAGGCTTGTTGCTTTGGGCCCTGCAGGTCCTGCTTGCTTTTCTGCCTCTGAGCCAAGCACACCACCCCAATTCAAAACGATTCCTTCGAAAGGAAGCTTCAAAACCAGAATCTTGAACAATTTCACCGGCCACTCTGGGCTCAGGAGGGGAAGGAGAGGAGCCTGTGAAGACAGGCACCCATTCAGACAAAGGCCTCTCACCTCTCTCCTCTCTCCTCTGCCCTGCTTGGACCAGGAGCCTGGCCCTCTCTCCTGCCTCGCTTGTCCTCCTGCTCCCTCTTCCCCTCCTCACATGCCGGCCCCTAGCCCCCCTCCTTGCCTGGCCCCAGCATCACCCGCATTTCACCCTCCTCTGTGTTCCTCCCAGAGTCTCCGCTGTGGCCCAAGGAAAATCTGGACCCCGTGGTGGTTCAGGAAGGCGCCCCGTTGACGCTCCAGTGCAACCCGCCGCCCGGACTCCCATCCCCAGTCATCTTCTGGATGAGCAGCTGTAAGTCTTGGGGGTTGGTGTTTTATGTCCATTTTAATCTTAGGGAGGAGGGTGGGCGTGTTAAATGGAGTTGGGGGGGCTTGCCTTGTGAGAAGCAGCTGTAAGGTGGCCAGGTGGTAAGAACTGGCTCTGTGGAGAGGCTGATGGGGCTCATTTCCTAAGCCCTGCTGCTGTTCGCTGTGTGATCTTGAGCAAGTTGCTTAACATCTCTGGGCCTCGGTTTCCTTTCTTGAAAATGGGGCTGATAACTGTACTTATCTAATAGAATTATTATAAGGATAGGTAAGTTAATGCACCCAAAGTACTAATAACAGGGCCAGACACAGTAAGTACTCGGTAATATTTGTGAGCAAAAGTAAAAAGAATAAGAAAGAAAATACCCTCGGGTATTTTTTTTCAATTGATTCTCTCTTTGTTTTTTTCTAGAGAGAGAGAGAGAGAAAGGAGGGGAGGGAGGGAAGGGGGAGAGAAAGAGAAAAACATCGATGTGAGAGAGACACATAGATTGGTTGTCTCACCCTGACTGGGGCCAAGGATCAAGCCTACAACTGAGGTATATGCTCTTGACTGGGAATTGAACCCATGACCCTTCGGTCCAACACCCTAACCACTGAGCAAACTGGCCCAGGGCAGAAACTATTTTTTAATATGCCAGTTGAAGGTGGGTTGGTACCGAGCCTCTTTCAACTCTTGGTTGGTCTGGACTCGCGCTTCCTGTTAGGACAGAAGTGGAGCATGCGAGAAGGAAACCTGTGGTGGAGGGTGATGGGAGGTAGGATCTCTGGAGCAGGGGACAGTGCACCATCATGCAGAGCCTGTCCGAGCTCTGTTTTGGACTGAGGCTCATGTAATCACTCTGGACCTCAGTATCTTCTTCTGTTTTCGAACTAAAAGTGGGGGGAGGCATTACGAGGGCGCATAGAGGACTGCTATCTGTCTTCCTAGCTGCTTTCCCTCCTTCCATCCCTCCCTCCCCTTCTCTCCCCCTTCCTTCGCCTTCCATTCCTTCTTCTCTGTGTATGCATCCGTCAGTCTAAATACCCGAGGGTATTTTCTTTCTTATTCTTTTTACTTTTGCTCACAAATATCACAAATAAACGCCTTCCTGCGTGTCGTCCCTGCTCTCCATTCCTGAATTCTTACCAAAGAGGCCGCCTTGGCAATGAACCAGCAGGTGAGTTGTTTTGCAGAAGGCGAGTGGCTTTGTGCCCAATCGTTGTCCATCTCTTCCCTCGCCACCGAGCACATTGTGGGGAAGGCTGCCTGGCCACGGACTGGGCGTTGGTCTGTGAGCTATCAGGCCAGAGCCTCCTCTCTCCGCCCCTGCGTCAAGCTCTCACTCTGCCTCACAGCACTCGAGCCTCTGAGCAGACCTCATGGCCTTCTTTTTCTTTGAATTCCCACTGACATGTCCCCACCCACGTTTACCTGGATTACAGTAATGGCCCATCCCTGGTTTTCCTGGTCTTTCTGAAAACGTACATGTGACAACCATTCATTCATAGGCTCAAAACCCTTCATCGCTCCTCCATCACCTCGGACACAGTCTGAACTCCTTTCCCTGGCACACAGCTCCCTCCTGATCCGATCCCTTCTGTCTCTCCAGCCCTCCTCCAGCCCCTCAACCCCTCCCCTCCCCCACTCTTCTTCTCAGGGGCTCTCTGCTTTAACACACACCGTCCCTGTCTTAGCTCCTTCCTCTGATGCCTTATAAATGTTACCTGGCCTTCAAGCCACAGCTCAAGCCCCTAGAATGGACCGGCTGCTCCTTCTCTCAGCTCATTCCCTGCTTGTCCGGACTGCCCACTCACCACACTGCATTGCAGGCAGTTATTTATCCCCTGTCTCTCCTACCACACTGCAGGCTCTTTGGCTTTCTTACTCATCTCTCTTTCCCCAGTGCCTCGCACAGTGCCCGCACATAGTAGGCCTACAGGAAACCTTTGATAATTGAAGAGCTGACTTTAGCATCATTAGCCTGGTGCTTTAAGAAATGGTGGCTTAGGGAGCACTCGTGGGGATAGGAAGGAGTTTGCTATGAGTAGTCAGCTCTAGAAGTAGACTTTTACAACCCAGATAGCTGAGAGGCCTGGCTGTTTGCATTTACATCAGATGCAGAGCTTGAAAAATACATGGACGCTGTAGTCAGCATTCTCTGCCACTCTTATGTACCATTCATTCTAAAATGCACACATTTTCATGTTTTCCCATCTCCCAAACGGAGAAGCGTCCTAAAATCGACGGCGTGCATTGGTATGCATCTTGCGATTATACTGTATTTGGTAGTGCTGTTTGCTTTCTTGGGGACGGGGCGGGGGGGACAGGGTATAAAAAAATAAAACAAGTGAATTTGACTCCTGATTTGGGAGCATCTGAAGGTTCATGTTCCCTCCCTCTGGCCTCTGGGCCAGTCTGATCGTTTGTGGCATGAACGGGAGACAGAAAAGGATGGTCATAGAGCATGGACGTGGTGGGCAGGTAGATCTGAGTCTCCGTCCTCCTCTCCCTCACTGCTTATGCCACAGAACAGTTACGTCGTCTGCTTTCTTATCTGTGACATGGGAATGAGCCCGGCTCAGAGTTGAGAGTGAGGTTAGGTCGAATAATGTGGAGCACCTGGCCCCGGCGGGCTCTCCTTAGGTGCCCACTGGCCAGACACATCACGATTATTGCTACTGTTACCATTTCTGCTCACCTCCCCGCGCCTCTACTTTCTCATAGCCATGGAGCCCATCACCCAAGACAAGCGGGTCTCCCAGGGCCATAACGGGGACCTGTATTTCTCTAACGTGATGGTGCAGGACATGCAGACGGACTACAGCTGCAACGCCCGCTTCCACTTCACGCACACCATCCAGCAGAAGAACCCATTCACCCTCAAGGTCCTCACCAGTAAGTGCGGGCCCTGCCGGGGCGGGGGTGCTGGGTGCCTGGGTCTGGGGGAGACACGTTGCCAAGGGTGACCTAGAAACCTTTCCAGCTCACTGTGCCTGAGCCACTTCAGCTTCTCTCAGACACCTGATTGGGAGCCTCGAGCTCAACTTGGTGCTGCCCTAAGTCAGTGCTTCCCATATGGATGGGAATCAGAATGCCTGGGGCCTTGGCATGGGCCCCGGGCCCAGCCCTCTGGCGCCTCTCTGTGCTTCGTCAGCTCCCGGGGGATTTGGAGCCGCCAGGATTTGAGGAGCATTGTTTTAGGAGCTCATCCACACCCCTCTCATGTTCTCAGCTGGATTACTTCTTTTATGTTTTGCCATCGTTTGCTAATCTTTATTTCTAGCATAAGCCACAGCACGGAACACCCACCTGAGGGGGTGCACCTCCATGGGTTGCGTTTGGTTCTGGGACATGTGTATGTTGGACCATGTGGAATCGCTGTGTTTATGGTTAGCCTTGTTTGTTCTCATTTTTATTCCTGATTCTGTCCGACGGGCATCAAAGTGGATGGGCATTTCCTGACCCACTGTAGCGTTTTGCTGACCCTGCAGGGAGGAGAGAGAAGCTGACCAGCTCCGGGCACACTGCTTGCCGGGACTCACTGGCTTGGAGCTTGGGCTGCAAGTCCTCAGCCTGCTTGGGACGCTGAGCGAGGCTGTGTGGGTTGTCCCCGTGGAGTTGTAACATGCCTTCCATGGAGGGCCCCGCCCCAGAGACCTCAGTCTGCCTGACTGGGCTGTTAATGATGTCCCCAACACTGGGGACAGAGGCGAAGGCGAGGGAAGCCAGGTGCAGCTTTCTCAGGTCGGAGAAAAGAGGCTGAACCCTGGCTTCCCATAACCCACAGGTGCAGGTGGCTGGCGATGCCTCCTGGAGGGATGTGGGAGGCGGGGAGAGGCCTGGGTGAGCTCACTCCTCACTCGGGACAAGTGGGGCGACCCCCTAGCATCCCCCTTTCCTTTGCCCAAGAAGGAGACCCGCGGAGCCAAGAGTCAACTCGGCCTCGAGGTGGAGCCACAAGAAGCAGCTTCCCCCGATTCCTCCCCCTTTTCTTTTTTTCTTTCTCTTCGTTTCCTCCCCTTTTCTTTTTCACTTCCTTCCTCTCTGTTTCCCTTTCCTCTTTTACTTTCTTCTTTCCCCTTCTCTCATCTGCTCTCGCTCTTTGACCCGGTTTTACCTGCCTCTAATCCCCTCCCCCCACCTCGTGCCTCTGCAGGTCCCCACACTCTGTTCTGAGCAACAGGACAGCCAGAAACCCAGGGACAAGCCCCAGCTGTTCCTGGCAGGGTCCCCCAGCTTCAGGCTGCTGCCGCCCCTCCCTGGCGCTCCTATTCCAGACAAGAAATGGGTTGTCTGAGGTGTCTCCTCAGGGCACGCCAGCGGGGACCGCCTGCCCGCTGGCCGAGCCAGGAGGACAGCGTGGTCTGCCCGGGACCTCGGCGGCCTATGGGGCCAGGACGCGGCTGGCCGGGTTAGGGTGTTAGGTGGGAGGAAGGGAAGGGAGGGCAGGAGTGGATGCCTGCAGTGCCATCCCCGGGTCCCTGTCTCCCTGCCCGGGACAGGCTGGACGTCAGCCTGCTGTTGGAGGGCTGGGTCAGGTGACCGCCCCTGGCCCTGGCAGAGGCCGCCGCTGTCACACCAGGCAGAGGCGGGGATGGAGGTAGCGAAGAGCCTTCCTCTGTGGCATTGGTTAGAGATTTCAGCCACATTGACCAGTTGGTCTTTCCGGAAGCATCCTTTTCTCTGAGAAAAGGGATGTCTGTGTCTGCTCCATTAATGGGTCTCCTGTGCCACTGAAAACTCTCCAAAAAAGTGCTGCTGGCTTCCTAGAGTCTCAGAGGGCAGCTTTGGCCGGGAGCAAGCTCCGGCACCCTCGCAGCACACATGTGCCCTCTCCCCTCCCCTGCCTGGCAGGGACGCAGGCTTTTTCCTGTGCCGTCAGGGCCAGGCCGGTGGGAGGCCGAGGTGGCCCTCCAGGGCTCTGTCACAGCTCGCCCACCAGGAGGAATGACCCTCTCCACAGTGGATTTTGTATTTCCTGCAGTAAAGGAAGGGGCACCTCACACACAGCACCGCGATCTGGGATCAGTTTTAACTTTGTTTGGGGTGCAGTCCCACGCAGAGCGGGTCCCGTCCACCCCATACCACTGGACAACGAGGGAAGAAGTCTCCCCGAGGAGACGCAGGAGCACTCACCGCCTCCCTCTGACATCTGTGTCTAAGTGACACTCTGGGCAGTCAGAGGCCTCCCTGAACGTCTCAGTGTGTTCCCAGGTCCACAAAGGCAGGCGCGGCCTGAGCGTGGGTCTCCCCTCTGGCTGGGAGCACAGAACAAGGGCCTGTCCCCTGCGTATTCCTGTCCCCTCACCCAGGAGGCCAGCCACAGCCAGGCCTACCCTCTGCCACTCCGCCTCTTCTTTCCCTGCAGGTCAAGTCCACCTGTAGCTCCAGGGAAACCCACGCTGGCATGCAAACACAGGCCAGGCCTTTTACACAAGCCCTGCCTTAAGGGCTAGTGCGAAGTCCTGAGCATCTTCCTGCTGGATGCAGCCCCAGAGAGGGCCAGTCTCCGGGCAGCTGTGACAGGGTGGAGCTGTCCTCCAATAGGCCAAGTCCTGGCAGGCACCTCTCCTCCCTCAGGCCTGGGCGGAGGGTTGCGGGGGGAGAGAAGAGGGAAGAGCAGTTCTGGCTTCTCAGGACTGTCTGCCTGGCTGCCAGTCAGCCGCTCTACCCCCGGCCTGAGCTTCCGACAGAACCTGAACCCCGAGGCTGGAAGGGATGGCACTACAACAGTGAAAAGCGACTTAATGATGGTGGCATGACCATGCGCCCTACTTCCAAGTGCTTTCTCACGAGGGCTCAGGCCCAAGGGTTTGCTCGCCTGATGTTGGAGCAAGGCCTCTAGTCCTGCTCCTTAAGGAATGGCTTCGCTGCTGAGTCTCGGCTTAGTCAGCAGGCCTCTCCCCGTCCACAGTGTAGAACTCAAAGCACTCATGTACCCCCCTCTCTCTTTCGCCCCCTCTTCCTCTTTCCCCCCTCCTTCCAAATTCCCTTTCTGATCCTAAAGTCTGAGCCCCAGCCTAGCTCTGCCTGCTCCCCGGACCACTCCTCGCCTCCTCAGAAGGAGGCCTGTCTACCCACAGGCACATCTCGGAGACCAGGGTGGCACCCGCTAGTCAGGCTGGGGTGTGTGTTGCTGGTCAGCACGCATTGTCGGCTGCTGCCAGGGGTCCCTCTCTCCCTCTCTGCTGACGAATGTTTCTCTGGACCGTTTTCTCCGCTCCTTTACTCCCACCCCTTGCATCCTGGCTTCTGCTCAGACAGGACCCGGCCCAACACCCCTTTCTCTTTAGCCCCCAAGAGCTGGCTTGACCCGGAGGCCCGGCAAATGGGGATTTTGATGGGACTTGCTTGTTCAAAGACAGCCATGGGGTATCATTAACGCTTCTCTCATTTGTTTGAAAATATAGTAGGACCAGGCAGTGAAGGGCCACGCCTAATTTTTTTAATTTAAAAAATAAACTTTTTTTTTTTTTGCCTTCTTTTGCAGGAGTTAACCTTTTCTTTCTTTTTTGGGCTGTCGTGTGCTGCTTGTTCTTTTCTGCCTTCTTTTGCAGGAGTTAACCTTTTCTTTCTTTTTTGGGCTGTCGTGTGCTGCTTGTTCTTCACCCAAGTGTATTTCCTTCCCAAGCTCGCCGCGTCTTTCCTTTTTGCCAAAGGCCACGGGTGCGCTCCCGGTTGTTTTGTGGCTTCGCATTTCTGTTTGTTCTCCCCCGTGTACGCCTCTGTGACCTCCCTGTGGCCCCTGTTCGCTCACCCTCTTTTGTTTATTGCAGACCACCCCTATAATGACTCGTCCTTAAGAAACCACCCTGACATGTACAGTGGTGAGTCGCAGTGGTAACCTCGGGAGTAACCTTGCCTGTCCTAACCCCAGTTTGCCTAACTCGACTGATACCACGTCATTCACGCGTGCCGAGTGGCAGGTCTGACAGCCGGCCAGGCCGGGGGGCCAAGGTGCCACCTGCCGAATGCCGCGTGCAAGGAAGACAGCGGCCAGTTGGGGAGTTTGAGGTGGCTGGTGTGGTTTGCAGGCCTCCAGTCGGTAAATTCTGCACATGTTGGTCAAACCAAGGGAGGACTTCAAAAGAGCTTCTGGGAGGGTTCCGTAGACACTTAGGCATCAGTGGTAGGTGGGGGGCGGGTAACTGAAGGTGAGGAAGAACAGTAAGTCTGGGCCTAGTGTGGTTTAAAGAGCACAGAAAGCCTTTAGTGTGTGTTTTGTTAACTCTTAAGTGTCTGGGTGTGGATTGCCTGCCTTGCAGTCTAGCCGTAGCTAGTGGGGATGCCATATCACAGGCCCCTGGCCTCTAAAACTCACCTGGGAAATAGTGAGAGTCCAGCTCTGACTCCTGTTTCAAGGTGACTGTGGATGACGTTGTGCTGTCCCTGGCCCTCCTCTCTCCTCGGGGAGTGCACTCAAATGCAATGCCCACCCATCCACACGTTTGCAAGTCATGGAACAGTTTCCAGGAGTCACAGCTAACTCGTCACACAACGGGTTGCTCAAGCTGATTAACGGAGTAATTGGCTCCTTCCACACCTGGGTTACTCCCCCCGTGGCTCAAGATGCCCCATTTCCCCGAGCAGCCAGAAGAATCGTCATATTCTGGCTCTGACAAGACAGCTGGCCGCCATCTTCAGCCTCGCCTCCGAAGCTGGGACTGCAGGTCCCCAGGGGGGCTTTGTGGGCTCCAGGAGACAGGAAGTGTCTGTATTGTGATGTGCTAATGTAAACAGTGAGTGGGGGATGGGAAGAGGGGTGAGAGGAAAGGCTCTGACTTGGCACTAAGCAGCTAGAGCCACACTGAGATCCTGCCAAGGAGACTTACCGCCTGAGGAAGCAGGGGATCTTTGCTGGATTCTGGGTGTTATTTGTTTTCTAAACGATGGGGCCACCGCCATGGTGTCCAGAGCCCCAGTGCACTGGTGTGGAATGTGCCTTTTTCTAAATTGGATTTCGGGTAATCTATTATAGGAATATTCTTAAAGCTGGAGAACATCAGAGCCAGACGGTCCCTTAGAGACCGTCTGGTCCCAGCTCCTCACTTTATGGAAGATAAACAATTCAGGGCATAAGCATATGGAGTTGTTTTGTCAATGGAGTTGTTTTATCAATGGCGTAGGCTTGGGTGATTCTAGCCGCTTAAACCAGTTTAGTATTACAAGTGAATGAGTGGGAGTTGTAAGAACCAAGGGCCATGAAAACAAGCAAAACTCACAAGTCCTTGCATTGTTACCGGAGAGGGACCAAGCCCAGAGCAGGTCTGCCTGAGGCCGGCCTGTGGTGTGTGGGTTCTTGCAGGAAAGATTTCACAACACGGGTCCAGGTGATTTTTTTTTCTTCTTCTTCTTCTTTTTAGGGATTGTTTATTGATTTTTAGAGGGAAAGGGAAAGAGAGAGAAACTTGATGTGAGAGTACAACATCACTGGGCTGGCTCCTGCACGCTCCCTACCAGGGATTGAGCCCAAGAATGTGCCCTTGACTGGGAATCGAACCTACGAGGGATGACTCACAACCAACTAAACCACACCAGCCAGGGCAGAGTCCGGGTGATTTTGAGCTGGGGACAGTGGAATAGGAAGGGTTGAGATAGAAGAAGCAACAGAAGAAATTCTAGGCCAGGCTGCTCTGTCTCTCTAGAAATGTTATAGGAAAGAAGTGTGCCTAGGCGAGCCTGTGGCCAGCTCACCGGAGAGTCAGAGAAAAGGGGACCTTGGAGACAGATTCAGGGGGTTAACCTGGGACGAGCTGCTGCTGATCCTTGCTCCCCTGGTTGCACGTCTCGCTGGGACACTTAGAGTTTAAGAGAAAGATAACTCACTCAAAAAGGAGATTCAACTGAGCACTGGCTTCGTTGTCTGGAGGGGTTTTATCTGCTTTCCAAAGGCAGGGATTTTAGGGGAGGTCTCAGGAGGAGGATCGCAATAGAATATTCATCACCTTTCCAGATGTGCCCTTTCAGGGCCATGGCCTTCATTGGACTGATGGACACCAGGGAAGGGATTGTTAATTATTGCAGCTGGGTCTGGCATCGCCACTTGGCCTAGCTGCCTTTCTAGGCCTGGAGCTGAAACACAGCTGAGGCCTCAATGATCTCTCTATAGAGGCAGGGTCAGGGCGTCCAAACAGCATGGCCAGCGATATGCCAGGAGCGGAAAGGGCACCCTGGGGGTGAGGTTCAGCACCAGTTTTGCCTGTTGCCAAGCACTTAGAGTGCTTTCTGGCCCGGTCGACCATCTCTATCTGACTGTAAATTGCTCAACCAGTGTGTCCAGCTGTCAGCCTCAGTTTCCCCATTCCACTTGCCAAGGAATTTTCCTGGCTTCTTACCATCCTGCCTCGACATGAGAGGGACCCCTTCTCTTGAAGTCAAGGGAGAATGGCTGAGCAAGCATGACGGCAGCTGGGAAGGTTGTAAAGTCAAAGTGAGGCCCGTGCTGAACAAAGGATAGCTGCTGTGTTGGATGCTTCTAGAAAGAAAGAGAAAGTGAAAAGAAAGGAAAGGAGATAAGGCCCTTCCTGAATGCAGAGACCTGGCAGAGAGACTGTGCGGTGAAGAATGTCCAGTGCATTGCTGTGCTTGGCTGTGAAACATGGCAGGTCCCTTTTGTAGCAGTGGGGCCACACACACACACCCCCCCAGTCATTCCATTCCATTCTAGTGATTTCTGCATCAGTTTGGTGTCCTCTGAATGTATGCCAGATGCCCCGTGACTTGCCCAGACCAGGAGAGGAGGAAGATGAGAGTGTGCACGCTGAAGGAGACTGCCATGAGTTAAACTCGGGCTCCGGGATGCACCATTGATTGACCTTGAGCAAGTCATTTAGCATGTCAGGCCTTTTCATCTGCCAAATGGGTCTATTTCCTGCCCCATCATTTTGTTGTGAAGATTAAATAGGGCTACATGCATGTGGTTCCTGGCGTGGTGTCAGACACACCAGTGATAGTGAAGGGAATGGTTTAGGGTTGACTGTCTGAAGTGTAACTGTCCTATGCTTCTGACATGAGGAAGAACTCCGAGTGTTTGAAGGCAAGCCAAGGGGAGGAAGTAGGCACAGTCCTGGGAAGGGAGGACTGTGGAGGGAGAAGCTTCAGGGCAGGATGTAAAGACAAAAGCTGCTCGGATCTCAGTGGTGCTCAGAGCTGGGGAAGAAAAAGCCCTCACTGCTGCCCAAGAGGTTGGGGTTAAAGTTGCAAAGGGACTTCCCGGCAGGGGGAGAAGCCGATGTTACTGAGTAAGGAGCTTTCTTTGTCCTCTGGGTGGTTGGTCAGTGGTTCCTAGAGCCAGAGAGGGGGTGAGATGGCAGGGATCCAGCCCACGAGTCCTACATTCTGAGAACTAAAAGCAGCAAACGGAGGACCTGGCTGCCCCTAAAGCTGCTTCTGGCAAAGGTTCTTGGGTACATCTGACCATTGAACTCTCTTCTGCTAACAGACAGCCCCTGATAGAGGGGAGCAGCTCGGATGTTCCACAGCCTCGGCCTTGCCTCTTGCAGGTGACAATGGAGGCATTTTTTGTTGGCCCTCTGAAGTCACCTTACTGACCAGGTTCCTCTGGTCACTCTTGAGCCATAGTTGTGAGAGCAGAGACTGCCCTTGGGCTAAAGGTCACATGGGCCCACGTGGGAGATCTTCCTAAATCGGCTTCTGGGTTCTGAGTTCGATCAGGTATTGGGTCAACCCAGCCCTGAAAGTCAGGGAGCGTAAGGGAAGCATCATCAGCTGGACAGGGGTCCCCGCCTCCGTGGTAAAAGAGGGTGTCCTGTGTCACCCTTGGAAACTGTCATCTTCCATTAGTGTCTCATAGCGTGTCATGTAGTAAGCACCTTTGTCTCAGATTTCTCCTGGGTCTACTCCAGCAGCTGGATTATTCTTTTATACATTTTATTTTAAATCCTCGCCCGAGGAACTATTTTTATTATTTTTTAGAGAGAGAGAAAAACATCAGTGTGAGAGAGAAACATCGATTGGTTGCCTCCTATATATGCCCTAACCTGGAATCAAACCCACAACCATTTGGTGTACGGGACAAAGCTCCAACCAACTGAGCCACCTGGCCAGGACAGTGCTTCATAAATTTTTACGTAAACCCCTCCTGCTGCATCTGACCCCATCTCTTCACAACCTCCCCTGGGGTCCAGCCTTCTTGTCCCTTATGATATCACATGTCACCCTGACGCCTCTCTAAGCTTTTCATGGCCTTAAGAATCCAGTTGAGCCGAAATCAGTTTGGCTCAGTGGATAGAGCGTCGGCCTGTGGACTGACATGTCCCAGGTTCAGTTCCTGTCAAGGACATGTACCTTGGTTATGGACACATCCCCGGTGGGGGGTGTGCAGGAGGCAACTGATTGATGTTTCTCTCTCATTGATGTTTCTAGCTCTCTATCCCTCTCCCTTCCTTTCTGTTAGAAATCAATAAAACATGTTTTTTTTTTAAAAAAGAAAAAATAATAATCCAGTTGAGATGCTTTTGGAGCCTTAGTTCCCAGCCCAGCTTCTTTCCCCACTCGGGCCAGAGTGTACTTACTCGTCACTGAGGAAGTTGGCATCTTACCTGAGACCATGGGAACAATGTCTGAGGAAAACGTACTGGAAGAGGCTCACCACCAAAGCTAAGATGAAAACACCTTCCTCCTTCACCTCTTTTGCCCTTGAATCTTGTTTTTCTTTGAACATAAGACATATTCCCAAAGCTGTGGGATAAGTGAGGGATCCACCTTTAAAGAGAGAAGCAATATAGAGCAGATGTCAGAACAAAATCTTTGGTGCTAAGTGGTCCAGCATCCAAAACATAACTGCTTGTGACCTTGGCAAGTCCGTTGACCTTGCTGAGCCTCCATTTTCTCTGTTGAAAATGGGGGTGATGCCCCGAGGTTTGTTTCGAGGATTTACCACGATGATGTAGATGGAGGTGCTGGCACAGCGCCTGGTCCATGTGAAGGCTTGCCCAATGGCAGCCCCAATGATTACCTCTGACTTCTAGGACGCTCTTCCCTATATTGTTGAGTGTTGGCTTATTTCCCAGTAGCTTCTCCCCTTATAGGATAATTCTGTGGTTGCTAGCCCACATCTTACACATGAAATATTGCTATAACCTTTGTTTTTAATCTTCACCCAAGGACATGCTGAGAGAGAGAGAGAGAGAGAGAGAGAGAGAGAGAGAGGGAGAGAAACTTCAATGTGAGAGAGAAACATTGATCAGTTGCCTTCCGGATGCGCCCCAACTGGGGGTCAAATCTGCAACCCGGGTATGTGCTCTGACCAGGAATCGAACCAGCAACCTTTTGGTACATGGGATGACGCTCAACTAACTGAGCCCCTCTGGCCGGGCACTGTCACAGCTACAGCATGTCAAGGCACCCACAGGGGGACTCTGCTCTCTCTTCCTCCTTCCCACACTTAATGCTTTGCTGGTCACATGTGCTTGTGGTCCTGTGTGCAGTGGTGTGACTTACATGTGCACAGGGTCACAGGTTGGTTTCTGCAGGTGGTATCCCAGCAGGAAGGAGTATGCCCACTGAGCTGGGACCTCTTCTACGTAATCCTAAGGTTCCTGACTCCAGAGCCTCCTGCTTGAACTCCCCCTCTCCTCGTGGTGCCCTTGACCTTGTGTTGTCTGTTTTGGTGATCACATGATGGTGGGTGGGAGGAAGCTGCTGCTTTGGTATCAGGCTTCCTTGGTACCAGGAGCTGGATGCTACATGAGTTATAGATATAAGTATGGTAACCAATTAACCACATAATGGATTAACCCCTTCAGTAGCCACTGTGGTAAATGTGTGTGCAGGGTGGACAGATGAGGACATCTACAGAGGGAGAAATAACATGGCGGGGGGTCGCTTGCTGCCTTCTTTTTGTTCTCTTCTCCCCTTGAATGCATTCATCTCACCCGTGTTTATTGTGCACTTGCTGTTTGCCATGTGTTGCTCCAGCCTCCTAACTAACCTTTGCATGCGTTTCATCATTTCCCCCTCTGACAAAGGCGCAAACTCTACGAAATGGCTAATGGAGAGAGGCTGGGTGCCCCTGGGACTAGCCTCCGCTGATCCAGCCAGGCACCAGCTAGTCCAGCAAGCTCCTTTGGGAGGCCCCAGGGTCAGAGAGTGCCGCGGCCATGCTGTCCTCTCTCTGCCGGCCTTCCTTCGCAGGCTCCGGCCAGGAAAACGCCTTTGTTCCCTGGGCGGGCACTCTGAGGGCTCCCCGCTCCTGGCAACTCTGCCCTCCTCCCACCTCTCCCCTGTCCGCTGGGTGGGAGACCCAGTAAGCCCATGAGTAGGCCCACGTGCATGTCTGTTTGTACACCTTCGGGCACAGGCGCCTCTTCAGGCCTCCCATGCTTTGGGCTCCTGGTTGGAAACTCCCGGTTCCTCTTCCTTCCATCACATCCATCTAACAGAACTACACAGATTCCCGAGGGAGCCCTGAGCTCAGGCGGCGGGCTCCACTGCTGGGGTGTGCCCAGACCCGCCCGACCCCTCCCACTGGGAAAGGGCCACCCCGACAGTGTCTGCCAGTCTCTGCGGGCCACCGGCTTCACACCTGTGCACGTCATTAACTTCACAGCCTGGGGCTTCTCTGGCTCCTTGATTTGCACACCCCCTCCCCTCACATGCAACCCACACCCTCCTGCCTGCCCCCCTCCCACTTCCGGAGTCATTAGTGGCGCAGTCTTGGCCCCAGAAGTGATTTCCTGTCATCTCTGCTCGTTAATTCTCCCCATGTCTTTGCTAACCCATCAGTAACGCTCCCCGCATCTCTGACTGTTCATCGGCGTCTCGTGGCTTCATCTCAGCTTCCTGTCTCCAGGGTCCCCAAGAGCAGCTTGCCTGCCTTGTGGTCCCAATGTGTGCCTTCCCCTTCCTCCCTCTGCTGCTGAGATGGCCCCCCAGAGTCTACCCCACTGGCCTCTGGGGTCCCCACACAAGATGCTCAGGGAACAAACCACTCGCCGCTCAGGCAGCCTCGCCCCCTTTCCAGGGCACGGGGAGGGAAGCGGCTCCTCTTGGCAGGTCCTTTCAGAAGCAGAGCTGCTCACACATGTGCCCGAGGGGCCCAGGAGCCCCGAGCTTCCTAACTCCCTCTCTTAATGATGCCCAGCCCTTGGGTGGTTTCGGCTGGGAGGGGGCGGGCCCTGGGGCCTCTGAGGGGAGGGGGACAGCCAGGCGAGGTGGCATCTCTTCCTAGCCTGGCAGCCTCGGCCAATGTAGGCCAGCCCCCAGGGCAGGAGGCTCAACCGGCTCGTTCTGTCCTATTCCAGCCCGGGGAGTCGCAGAGAGGACGCCCAGCTTCATGTACCCGCAGGGCACCGCGAGCAGTCAGATGGTGCTGCGCGGCATGGACCTGCTGCTGGAGTGCATCGCCTCCGGGGTGTACGTACCGCCTCCCCCCACTTCTGGCCGCCCTCCTCGGGAGGCTGGGAGGGAGCTCGGGTGTGCTCTGGGTGCCATGTTTTGGGGTACAGAAAGAGAAGCAGACAGCCCTCCATCCCATTCTGGCCATCTCTCTCTGGATAGCGAGGAAAGGAGACGGGCAGGCATGCTGGACAGGTTAGAATCTCTGAGGCCTTAGACTGAGGTGACCAGACGTCCTGCTTTTGGTGGGACAGTACCGCTTTTTAACAATTTGTCTCGCATCCTGCGGCGTTTTAAAAAAAAATCCAAAAGATTTAAAAGAATCTTTCCAAAAATCGGGACTTTTTTTAAATTGTTAAAAATCGGGACTGTCCCACCAAAAGTGGGACGTCTGGTCACCTAACCTTAGACACGTCCCTCAGATGCTATGTGCTGAGCCGCCGTCTGTATGAGAACAGCTGTCAGAGGTTAGGTATCCCTGGGCCCACGTAGAAGACCACAGACTCCGCAGAAGAGTTGCAGAGCCACGGTTTATAATAAATCCCTCTTTCCTGCCCGGCCCCTCTCCCAGCCCAACACCAGACATCGCGTGGTACAAGAAAGGCGGGGACCTCCCGTCCGACAAGGCCAAGTTTGAGAACTTCAACAAGGCGCTGCGCATCACCAGCGTGTCCGAGGAAGACTCGGGGGAGTACTTCTGCCTGGCCTCCAACAAGATGGGCAGCATCCGGCACACGATCTCGGTGAGAGTAAAGGGTACGTTGTGTGTATTTCTCATTACGGTGATTTTGCCAGCCCTCCACGCCACCACCGCCCTTCCCCCTGAGGGTGGCTGGGGCAGGGTGAGTGGGGGAAACTCATCACGCTGGTCGGTGGCAATAGTGACCTCTCAGGGATGGTGTCACCGTGGAAGTGAGTGAGTGTGTGTGTGTGTGTGTGTGTGTGTGTGTATGGGTGAGAGAGAGAGGGGGGTGGGGGGGAGATGGGTGTTGAGGGAAGAAGATCTATCACAACTCCCTGGGGCTCCCTCAGCAGGTGGATGTCATGGTCTGTTTGATTCACACCCAGAGCCTTCTCCTTATTCATTTTGCATTCCTGTTCACGGTGTGTCCTCTTCTCCCTGTGCTGTCTGTGTACTGTGCTTGGTTCTTTCTAGAAATGGGGAGTCATCATGGCCCACACTATTTCTTTAAAAGTCACACCCCTCCCCTACAAGCGTAGATGGCCCTCCTGAGCTCGAGTAAACAACAGAGCCGGTGCCTTTGTGGCTTCTAGCCATGGGTGTCAGACTGGACAGGTGACTGGGTGATGAAGTCTGGTCCCACAGTGCAAGAACTTCCTTAGCTCACACTCAGTTACACGTGTGACCTTGGTTTCAGCCCTCCACTCAGACCAGAGGTTCTTAATCTTTCAGGGGGTATCAAGAGCTTTGGTGCAAAGAACCCTGTTCTCAGAAAAATCCACATGTATTTATACACATAGAACACCGCAACGACCGGAATGACTGGATGTTTTGACGCGCACCGTAACCCTGATTGGCCCTCCCCAACCCCAAGCAGCCCACACACACACACCCCAATCAGGGGTGGGGTGGGCCAGCCAGACCCCATTCGTGCACGAGTTCATGCACTGAGTCTCTAGTATCCATATGTTTGTGCAGTTTTCCAAATAGTGGAAAGGGGTGGTCAGCCATGAGCTTCTGCTCTAACCAAAGCTCAGTGCCTAAGAGAGTGAGTGTAAGTAGCGGGCCTTTCCAGAAAGGTCTCATGTTGCAGCAGCAACAACGGAAACCCAGAGGGGCCAACCCAGTGCCCGCCTTCCCACCGTCCCTGGCTGGGCCCTTGGGTGCCCATCATGAACACCAGGGCCTCTTAAAGCATTTGCCCCCATAGCCTCTCCTGAGGATTCCCATTCAGTGGGTCTGAGATGGGCCCTGGCTCCCGTGTTGGTTAAAGCTCTTCAGGAATCGCTCATGAGCAGCCGCACGTTGGAACTCTTGTTCTGTGAACTCGAAATAGGCAGGCCGGCATCGCTGGTGTTGAGCCAGCTTAAGGCAGGCTGGGCGGAGCCATCCATGAGGATGAGCCCGGGGCGGGTGCCGAGGGGCTGGGCTGGCCCTCAGAGGCTCCTGTCTTCCTAGAGGAAGCCTGTCAGCACCTTCTAACTCCTGCCTGTGCTGCTCTTGTCTTCCAGCTGCTCCCTACTGGCTGGACGAGCCCAAGAACCTTATCCTGGCTCCCGGCGAGGATGGGAGGCTGGTGTGTCGAGCCAATGGGAACCCGAAGCCCACTGTCCAGTGGATGGTGAACGGGGAACCTTTGCAGTGTGAGTAACTAGGCATCGTCTCCCCTGACTGCTCTGTCCGCCAGCAAAGGCTCCTGGTCTTGTCCCTGCGGTGCCCCTGGTTGTTCCAGAAGCGAGGGAGCAGCCACCTCTTCGGACACTTCCAGAGGCAGGATCCCTGCCTCGCGTCTACGTGAGAGGGTGGAGCCTGGGGTTCTCTCTCTGTTGAGAGCATTTCTGCTACCTTGGGGTTTTCATCAACCTCTGCTCTGTGCCCTTCACAACTGCAGAGCCCAGGTCAAGGTTTGGGGTCCGCGGCTGCACCTCCTGAGAGCCTGGGCTCTGAGTGATGTCTGGAGCTCCGGAGATAGAGTAGAGCTCAGTAACCCTTTGTGGTTGGCTGCCCGGGTCTGCTTTCTGCTGAGGGCGCACCAGGAGGCAGGGTGGCGGGACAATGGGAACGGTCTGGTCGGCTATGAGAAAGCACCTTCCCAGGAGAACAGATGCGCCCTGGCAGGGTTCAATGTACACAGACTCGGGGGAGAGGTCGTCCTGCCTGGATAGCTGGAGTAGGGAGTCCAAGGCGCCTTCCAGCAGAGGGCTTGGTCAAGATTTCCCATCATTCTCTCCAGAGGGCTTGATCAAGATTTCCCATCATTCTCTCCAGAGGGCTTGATCAAGATTTCCCATCATTCTCTTCAGAGGTCTTGGTCAAGATTTCCCATCATTCTCTCCAGGAGCATTTACTTTTTAAAATGTCCTGCCATTACTTTCTCTAGAACAGTGGTTCTCAACCTTTCCAAGGCCACGACCCTTTAATACAGTCCCTCATGTTGTGGTGACCCCGAACCATAAAGTTATTTTCGTTGCTACTTCATAACGGTAATTTTGCTACTGTTGATGAATCGTAATGTAAATATCTGTGTTTTCCGATGGTTTTAAGCTCCACAGCAGCGGTTCTCAACCTGTGGGTCGCCTAAGAACATAACTGCAAAATGACAGTTATGAAGTAGCAACTAAAATAATTTTATGGTTGCGGGTCACCACAGCATGAGGAACTGTGTTAAAGGTTGAGAGGAAATGCAAAAAGTGAAGTCGACCAGATTTGGGGGGGGGGGGGGGGGAATAGATGGCGAGAACTCAGAGTCTACCTCCAGAGTTCTCAGAGCAGCCAGTGGAGAGGCAGGGAAGGCAGGTGCAGGAGAGGGTGAGAGCACCTTTTAGACACTTGCCGTGTCCCAGCCACTGCAGGTGGTGCTGCAGTCCTCTCTCTTTAACCTCAAACATTACCCACGAGGAAGCGAGGTTCTGAAGGTGTGTCAGCTGCCCGAGTCACATGACCAATAAGGAGGAAGCTATGGGAACCCAGCTGTCCTGCACCATCTAGTACTGAGCACCCATTTATCCCAGTGACTGTCCTCCTGGACGCAGAGAGACCGGGACCTGCCTGCCCTCTCTGGGTTCTCCCTGTCCTGACAGCCTCTGGGGACAAGGCCAACAAAAGCTCTAAATGGCACAGCACCCGGGACTCGCCGCTGAGCCTTGGTCCTGGGAAGGGCACCCATCACTTACGGGGAGTGACCAGAGGGGAGGTGGGGCCATGAGAATTGCTCGGCAAGGCGTTCTAGTCGCTGGCAGTGCCTGCCTCGGGTCTTTTTGCTGATGAAAAGGGAAGGGTGATAAGGATGTTGACCTTGACTTCACTTACCGCCTGCTGATTCCCCAGTTCCGGCTCAGACTCGCTATCTGTGGAGTGGCACCCATGGGCCAGATTCTGGGGCCTCCTCTGCCAATGACAGTCCGTCAGTCGGTCTGAGCGATCCCAGATGAGTTCACGGATCGAGGAAGCCCAGGCCAGAAATCTTACAGACGAGCGTCGCCTTCTGGCGATGAGAGACGAGAAAAGCGGCCGTTCTTACATTTCCAGAAAAACGTTTATTGTACAGCCCGTTACCTTTCTCTTCTCCTAACCCTCCTTAGACAGGGGGGTGGTGGGAGTACTTCCTCCTCATTTGGCAGGTGAAGGAAATGAGGCCCCGAAAGACTGGATTTGCCCCAGATTCCCAGCCGGATGCACCGGTGCACGTGGAATGTTCCCTCTGCGCGTGGGAAACCTGGCCTGGGACGGACGGAGGGGGGGGGTAGCTTTGGCAGACAGAAGGACTGTGCGGACTCCAGCAGGAGTAACTTGGGGGATGTCTGCAGAAAGCTCTGCTCTGAGGATGGGCAAGAGGCAGGCCTACCCGGTTCCTTAGTGCTTCGTCCTTTTCAGGACAGACTTGAGTGTATGCACGTTGGATTAAAATATTAACAACAGTGATTGTCAGTACGGGCTGGGCCCTCTGCCAGCGGCCTGACACCTGCCTAAAAGCTCAGGTCATCCTCGTAAAAGCCGCACACGGTGGCAGCGAGCCCTCTTCTGCCCACAAGGAAACCGATGCTGCAGGGATCAGGTTGGAAATTCAGACCCCTTTCTGTTGCCACAGCTTATGCGTCAAGCCCCACCTGCCCAGCTGCTACTGAGCAGGAATTCATATCCCCGTTGGACAGACTGAGAAATAAGCTCCAGAAGGTTCGCCGATGGGCCACGCAGTGGTGGGGCCGGAGCGGGGTCTTCTACACACCCAGCCGTGCTGGGGAGCCCCGCGCAGAGCCCCAGGGTCCCCTCGCCTGCCCTCCCGCCCCCCCTTTCTCACAAGAGGCCTCTTTCCTCTCCGTAGCGGCACCTCCCAACCCGAACCGCGAGGTGGCCGGGGACACCATCATCTTCCGGGACACGCAGATCAGCAGCAGGGCCGTGTACCAGTGCAACACCTCCAACGAGCACGGCTACCTGCTGGCCAACGCCTTCGTCAGCGTGCTGGGTGCGTGTCCCCGTGTCCCCCCCCGCCCTTCCCCCCCCACTCCTGCTGCTTCTCCGGGCGGTCGCGTCGCGCGTGGGCTCACGCTCCTCTCCGGAGGCCGGTCAGGCTGGCGGGGGGAAGCCTGGAGACCAGAGAGAAGAGGTGTGGGGAGGAGAGAGGGCTTAAAACCCGCAGAGCCAGGTGTGCAGACAGAGTGGCTTCCCTCCCGGAAGCCAGCCTTGGCCCCTCCTTCCCTGGTGTCCCCCAGCGGGCCGGTCTCTGTCTCGTCGCCTTGGGGTGTCCGTGCTGACCCTCCGGGGGTCTCAGCGGGTCGCAGAGCCGGAGTGGTTCTGAGATGTCTGCAGCACTCCCAGGGCAGGGAAGCGGGGGCGGGGGGAGGGGCAGGTGCAGAGCCTGCTGGGTAATTTGGGGACTGACACCGTGGGCAGAAGCTGGATTGGAAAGAGGGTAGGTCCGGAAAGGAAAAGCTCCCTCCTCCCTCACCTACCCCTTCGAGGCTTTTTAGCGGAGCCACGTGGGGAGGGGCAGGGGCTGCGCTTAGGAAGCTGCTGTTCGGAGGAAGCAGGTAGATATAGGACGAACGGGAAAGGGATGGGAGAGAGAGACACCCCCCCCCCGCCCCCCACCTAAGACGGCTTGTCTGGGACTTGCAGACGTGCCGCCTCGCATGATGTCACCCCGGAACCAGCTCATCCGGGTGATCCTGTACAACCGCACGCGGCTGGACTGCCCTTTCTTCGGCTCCCCCATCCCCACACTCCGCTGGTAAGTCCCAGGGGGCCAGGCCTCCCCAGCAGGGGCCATCTGCCTCCCCCTTTGTCATTCCCCATCTGCCCATAGTGGGTATGGAGCAAGGCCTGGGCACCTTCAAGGGGCAAAGCTGGGAGGAAGTTGGCAGAGCAGCTGGGTCCACCCCCATGCTGTGCACAGAAGGACACTGAGGCCCTGGGCGGGGCAGACACTTGCCGGGGGCCACTCCGTGGCCGGAGGGAGACCCTGCAGGACGAGGGCTCGAGGCTCCTGGCGTGGGGCTCCTCCCACTGCCCACCCCGCTCTCTCTCGGTGGTTGGCCCACGCCCCGGGGCCAGCCCTTTCTCAGTGTGTGGTGTGTTCCGCTGCTGTGTTGTGAGGTTTAAGAATGGGCAAGGGAGCAACCTGGATGGTGGCAACTACCACGTCTTCGAGAACGGCAGCCTGGAGATCCAGATGATCCGCAAGGAGGACCAGGGCATCTACACCTGTGTGGCCACCAACATCCTGGGCAAAGCCGAGAACCAGGTCCGCCTGGAGGTCAAAGGTAAAGGAGGGGGTTGGTGGGTGGAGGGCGGGGGCGGGGCGTGGGGCTGGGGAAGGAGGCTGTCATCGCCAGGTGGCCCACGTGTGTTTTGCACTTTGGAAATGCACACGCCTCCCTCCTGCTTGATCCCCTGCGGGACTCTCCCAGTGGGTGTGGGTGTTCTCCCAGGGCTTCCTGCTGGCCTGGGTGCTGGGCCACAGAGTTCTGTCCACCCGGCTGCCACCGCCGCCCCAGGAATTGCATCAGCTCCTCCCGAGCCCGATAGAGAGGATCTGGGGTGGTTACCTATTGGGGATCACCCACACCAGGCTCCCCCCCCCCCATTCATGCAATGGGAGACTGTTTCTGCCACCTCCCTTGATGGGTCTAACCTTGAAGTCGCGCGTGTCACCCTGGGTCCATGCTGGGATGGCGGGCAGAGGGCGGTCAGCGCCGAGCACTGGGTTTCTCCGCAGACCCCACCAGGATCTTCCGGATGCCCGAGGACCAGGTGGTCAAAAGGGGCACCACCGTGCAGCTGGAGTGCCGGGTCAAGCACGACCCCTCCCTGAAGCTCACGGTCTCCTGGCTGAAGGACGACCAGCCACTCTACATCGGGAACAGGTCTCCGCTCCGCCCTCGCCCCTTCCTGCTGCCGCTCAGGGGCCCTTTCCTTTCCCTTCTCGGGGCCCAGGGCTAGGGAGCCTGTGTCCCCCCTGTCCCCAAGGAGCTGCCGAGTTGGGCAGGTGGCCTCAGGGGAGACCCCCACCCTGCACCCTCTCCCTCTCTCCATCAGCTCTCTGCTTCCCTTTCCCTCTCCTCTCTTTCCAACTCCTTTCTCTCTTCACTTTTCTCCCCTCGCTCCTCTTTTCCTCCTTCCTTTATTGTGACTCCTCCCCTCCTCCTCTTCTGCCTTGCAGCCAGGAGCCCCCTCTCCCTGCAGCTTCCGCCCTGCCCGCAGTGCCCCTCTTCTCCAGCAGAGGGCAGAGCTGGCCCGAGCCCACTAGGACCCCTGGGAGGCTTTTCCTAGCCCCAAGCCTGCCTCCTTCCTCATCCCAGATTCGGATTCAGTGGGTGTGGGGAGGGCTGGGCACCAGCAGGGTGTACACCTGCCCGCAGGGGTCTCTGGTGCCGTCAAGGTCCGAGCCTCCCTCCCAGGGCCCTCTGTGCACCTTCTTCACCTCAGGGCCCTGAGGTTGCCTTAGGCACCAGCTGTTTCCAAGGACCACCTGGTTTTTTGTGGGGGTGTTCCCCACTCCCCCACCCCTCGAGGGCAGGTACATCCTGGTACTCATTTGCTGCTCACCCCTGCCTGCTCTTTGGTGCCCTCCCTCGATGGGAGACTGTTCAGAGGAGCCTGGCACCCGGCTAAGCCCGGGTGCAGAGACCAGTCCAGGCTGGAGATGGAGCTGGAGAATGGGGAGAGGCGGGGTCTCCACCTGCGTTTGGGGGTGGGTCTAAGTTGGGAGGGAGCGCAGCCCAGAAAGGCACAGAGAGCAGGTGTCGTTTGAGGGCTGAGCACGGCTCAGGGCCACGTGGGGGTCCCCCGTGTTCCTTATCCCCTTTATTGAGCACGTCAGTGCCGGTGACACCCCGTCTCTCCCTGGCATCATGATGGGGCTCATGTCCCCCAGGGGGGCTGTGGCTGCCCAGCCCAGCCTGGGGCTCCCCTCCCCCTCCGACTCGCCTGCCATCCAGGGAGAAAGCAGCAGCGGTGCCTGGCACTCCCCTTGTCTCTCCCATTTCCCCCCTCTCGCTCTCCTCCCAACCCTCGGTGCCTTTGCAGGATGAAGAAGGAGGACGACTCCCTGACCATCTTCGGTGTGGCCGAGCGGGACCAGGGCAGCTACACGTGCGTCGCCAGCACGGAGCTGGACCAGGACCGGGCCAAGGCCTACCTCACCGTGCTAGGTAACTGCCGCTGCCCGGGGCGCTGACCTCCTCGCCCTTCCTGCAGCCGCAGAGGCCGGGGCCGGCACAGTTCTGTGGTCCGCGAGCCCACCGGCTGTGGCCGTCTCCTGCCCTTTGGCCTAAGGGTTAGGGGGCTGCTCCTTTCGAGAGAAGCTGAGTTCGATGACTTGCCTCCTAAGTAGAGCTATTAACTCCCTGTGTTCTCATCCCAATGAGAGCGGGAAGGTGGACAGGGGTTCCTGGGGGGGGAGGGAGGGGTCGTTCTCACCAACGTTACAGCTAACTCTAAACCACTAAGTTCATTAAAACGATCCTTCATTGAAGCAAGACTGAACTTTGTGTTTGTCCTTCCCACACCTCTGCTGGCCTTCCTTCCTCCCCGCTTCCCCATGGGAATCACAGGGCACTGTGCGCTCAGCACTCAGCGGGGTGACCCTACCTCGTCCAGGCTGTGCTGAACATATGAAGTCATCCCAAACCTGGGGAGGGAGCCGGTCCCGTCCAGGGAGGCAGAGTGCCCGTTGTCCCTCATCACCTCTGTCCTCTCTCTGGGCCCCTCTGCCCTTCCTCTTAACGCATTGTGTCCCTTCCCCAGTGGACGCACATGGGCCCCGGAGATAGAGCTCCGGTGATGGTGGCTCTGGAACAGGAGGGAGGTGATGGGGGCCATGGGATAGGAAGGAGGTGATGGGGCCCTGGGACAGGAGGGTGATGGGGGACAGGAGAGAGATGGGGCTCAGGATGATGGTGGGGTGGCCCTGGGACAGGAGGGTGATGGGGGGACAGGAGAGAGATGGGGCTCAGAATGATGGTGGGGTGGCCCTCAGACAGGAGGGTGATGGGGCCCAGAGTGATGGGGCCCAGGGTGATGGGGCTCAGGGTGATGGGGCCCAGGGTGATGGGGCTCAGGGTGATGGGGCTCAGGGTGATGGGGCCCAGGGTGATGGGGCTCAGGATGATGGTGGGGTGGCCCTGGGACAGGAGGGTGATGGGGCCCAGGGTGATGGGGCCCTGGGACAGGAGGGTGATGGGGCTCAGGGTGATGGGGCCTAGGGAGATGGGGTCCAGGGTGATGGGGCCCAAGGTGATGGGGCTCAGGGTGATGGGGCCCAGGGTGATGGGGCTCAGGGTGATGAGGCCCAGGGTGATGGGGCTCAGGGTGATGGGGCCCTGGGACAGGAGGGTGATGGGGCTCAGGGTGATGGGGCCCAGGGTGATGGGGCTCAGGGTGATGGGGCCCAGGGTGATGGGGCTCAGGGTGATGGGGCCTAGGGAGATGGGGCTCAGGGTGATGGGGCTCAGGGTGATGGGGCCTAGGGAGATGGGGTCCAGGGTGATGGGGCCCAGGGTGATGGGGCCCTGGGACAGGAGGGTGATGGGGTCACAGAAGGCCTCTAGGGGTGTGGCTCTGTGGAAGCAGGGGTTAGCCGTGGGAAACATGTTGCAGGGGAAGCTCTCCCAGCCTCGGCTGCCTGTTCCCACCCTCTTGGAGCACCTCTAACCCCAGATAACCAGCTAACCTGGTTAACCGTCTTACCTTTGCAGCTGATCAGACCACTCCAACTAACGGTTTGGCTGCCCTCCCCAAAGGTAATTCTTACTAATCGGGACCCTCACCAAAGCCCTTGCTAGGCCCGGGGAGGGTGGGGTCTCAGAAGAGAGCAGGGTGGGCGGTGCGTCACCCCCACGCCCTGCCCAATCCGCTCCCTCCCCGAGCATCACAGCCCGGGCTTCCTGCTCCAGGTGCAGGTTGAGCTTAGACATCCTTGGCTGCCTTTTCTCCTGCGTCCCTGACCTCTGACCTCTCACCATGCCCATGGGGAGGCCTGTGGCCCACGTGCTTCGAACCATCTGTGGGCCCACGTTTCCTGCAGCCTCTCCACGTCCAACACTATGTACCCCACAAACAGTCTGCACACACAAATGGGGGCTCACCTTCCAGATTCTTCCAGTAATCGGCCATCGTGCGGAAATGGCTGGTTCGAGAAGCCATAGAGGGGGAAATTATGCCATCCCACCAGTCCGTGGTGGCATGGCTTTATTCCCGACCCTGGATGGCACTCACTCCCACTAAGGCAACCCAGTCAGACTGGAGCCCCCAAACGGTGCTGCCTCCCTGATGTAGGCAGCCTGCTGGGCTCCTGTCCATCCCTGGAACTTCTTGACCACACCCCCATCTCCTCCCTGGCCTGGTCCCCTTCCTCCCTCCCATCCCCTGAGCCTGTCTGCCTCGCTCAGCACCCACACACCCTCCAGCTCCTGCCCCTCAGAGCCGTGGCGTACAGAGTAGAAAATAATAATCCTGAGGAAACGAGACATAGGCCACACTTCCTTCCTTGCTGGCTTAAACGTGAACACGCGTCTAGTGAAAAGCATTACCAACCGCCTGCACTCCAAGATCCCCGCAGGAGTGGGCTGGCCGGTCCGACTCTCTGTGCCGGGCATCCTTGGATACTCTCGGAGAGGGAGGCGGACTGGAGTCTCCTCTGGGTTCTCCCTGACCCGCTGAGGGAAGGGGTGGTCCCTGTGCTGACCCTCCGGGGGGCAGGCTGGGGGCGGGCCCTGCTGTGGTGGCCTCCACCCTCCAGGGCCCTGTCTGTGGGCGTGGCCGGGGCCGGGGCTGGCTCTAACTCCGGAGTCCTGCGCCGTGTCTTCCCCCTCTGCTGCCAGGACGGCCGGACAAACCCCGGGACCTGGAGCTCACCGACCTGGCCGAGAGGAGCGTGAGGCTGACCTGGATCCCAGGGGACGATAACAACAGCCCCATCACAGGTCAGCCTGGGCCCTGCACTCCGGGCCGGAGGAGAGGGTGGGGGCAGCTGGGAGCTCGGAGGCCTGGCCCTGGAGTCCGTCCCCATCCGCCTCCCTTGGCCCGGGCCCTGGGCTGTTTGCAGACGCCACGGAAGCCTTGTTCCCTCTCGGGGTCTTGATGGGAATCCTCCCTGTGCCTCTCTCTCTACGGAGGGAGGTGATGGAGAGGATGGAAGCCGTGAGGGATGCTTCCCGGAAGAAGGCAGCTGGCTCGGCCCCTGAAGCCGCTGCCTTTGCCCTCAGACTATGTGGTCCAGTTCGAAGAGGACCAGTTCCAGCCGGGGGTCTGGCACGACCATTCCAAGTTCCCAGGCAGCGTCAACTCAGCCGTCCTGCAGCTGTCCCCGTACGTCAACTACCAGTTCCGGGTCATCGCTGTCAACGAGGTGGGCAGCAGCCACCCCAGCCTCCCGTCCGAGCGCTACAGAACCAGCGGGGCCCGTGAGTACCCGAGGGCTCCCCCATGGGGGCGCTGGGACAGGCGCCCTGAGCTCCCGCTGGGTGCCCCAGTCCCCGGCCCCCAGACGTGCGGATTTGGGCACGTGTCTTAATGGCTCCAAGGCGTGGCCCCTCATCTGTAATATCAGCATGTGCCAGAGGGGCTGCTGGGAGGATTCCGTCTGAGATGCGAGCACTCACATGACCTGTCGTTTTTATTATCACTGATGCCGATGGTCTGCTTGGAAGGGAAGAGCTGTGGCAGACACTCGCAGCAGGAACGTGTAACCCGGTGTTTTATCAGATTTCTTTTCCTGGTAACATTCAGCATTCTGAAGTCACACTGGCTCGTTGGCATCCAACAATATGTTAAATGCTGGGATAAATCCGCCTGCTATGAAACACATTTAGCGGCTAATCTATGAAGGAGATGATCCTCGGGTTGGCTATATGGGCATCTGAAGTGTGGAAAGCCTCATGACAGATCTGTCTGAGAGGCATTGCAATGGAGAGGGGTTAGTGAGCTAGGCAGGCACGCCTCACACGTGAGATATGGTAGAGCATGTTCTGTTGCCCATGAGACCGGAGTGCAGAGACACAGAAGAGCAGCGTAGAAGAGACCAGTCAAGGAAGGGGGGAGGGGGGTGAGGGGGAGAGGTGCTCACCGTGCCCTAGACACATTGGACTTGAACTTCGTGTCAATTTGGGTTCCAGCCCCTGAGTCCAATCCCAGCGATGTGAAAGGAGAGGGGACCAGAAAGAACAACATGGAGATCACATGGACGGTGAGTGTCCCCGGCCCAGCCTCGCAGGCAGCAGTGTGCACCTGGGTCCCTCGCCCTTCATGCCTCTGATGCCCCAAGGCTCCAGGGTGGCTCAGACGGCCTGGCTGGTGTGGTGGCTCGTCTGCGTTGGGCGTCCAGAAACCAAGCAGGAGCGTGTCTAGATAAGATTTAAGACAGGAGAGAGGAGCAGAGGTGGTTGGGGCAGTCTGGCACAACCATAGAGAACCAGCAAAATAAAATGGGCTTCTTTCTTCAGAAGAAGGAGGGGTTGAGGCAGAGCCCATTTGGCTCAGTGGATAGAGCGTTGGCCTACAGACTGAAGGGTCCTGGGTTCATTTTTGGCCAAGGGGACATACCTTGGTTGCAGGCTCCTTCCCAGCCCAGGCTCTGGTCAGGGAGTGTGCAGGAGGCAATCAATAGATGTGATTTTCTCACATCAATATTTCCCTCTCTCTTCCACTCTAAAAATCAATGGGAAAAAATATCCTCAGGGGCCTTAACTGGTTTGGCTCGAGAGCTACGGTTTGCCGCTCTGTTGACTAATGAGTTTGCCGACCGCTGACCTAGACTCTCAATCCCAATAATTACAGGCTCTTGTTCCTTGTGAGTAAGCCCCTATCCTAGTGGTCGGCAAACTCATTAGTCAACAGAGCACCGGCTCGCAAGCCACAGTTTGCCAAACCACTGGGATAGAGCGTTGGCCTGCGGACTCAAGGGTCCCAGGTTCGATTCTCGTCAAGGGCATGTACCTTGGTTGCAGGCACATAACCCAGTAGGGGGTGTGCAGGAGACAGCTGGTCAATGCTTCTCTCTCATCGATGTTTCTAACTCTCTATCCCTCTCTCTTCCTCTCTGTAAAAAAATCAATTAAAAAAATATATATTTTTTATTATTATTTTTTTAATATCCTCAGGTGAGGATTAAAAAAAGAAGGAGGAGGAGGGGCTGAGGTTGGACTGGGAACAATTGGGCATAAATACTGGGCTCACATTGGTGTTCTGGATCCTTTCACGAGATTGCTGGGAGTGAGGAGAGGCCAGTGGCTGGCGTCAGCGTAGACCTTCTCACAGTCAGGACTAGAGAACTCCAGGCCAGGTTTGAAGAACTCCATCTTCACTTTGGTTCACTGACTACATTTTCAAATCAGAATTGGATGTGTCACCTCAAAATGACTTCTTTAAAAAATTTATTTTTATTGATTTCAGAGAGGAAGGGGGAGGGAGAGAGAGAAACATCAATGATGAGAGAGAATCAGAGGTGGGCTGCCTCCTGCATGCGTCATACTGGGGCTTGAGCTTGCAACATGGGCATGTGCTCTGACCCCTGGCCAGAAATCAAACTGTGACCTCCTGGTTCATAGGTCAACGCTCAACCACTGAGTCATGTCGGCCAGGCATCAGAATGACTAGTTTTCAAACTACATCCTAGAGAGATGCAAACTTGGCTGCTGAAATGCACTTCTGTGCTGTGGCCACATGTCATGAAAACAGGACACTCAGTGTTGGGAGTCCAGACCATCCCCATCCTGCTGAGGGCCTGGTCTCCCAGCAGCCTCAGCAATGGGGCCTGGCTGATCCCAGATGCCAGCACATCCACGGGGCTGAGAAGGGTCTGCTTGAGGTCCACTCTCCATCCTGTGCTCTGGGACTTTCTATGGGGGCAGGCCCTTAGGGAACAGAGGGCAGAGCTCCGCCCACTTTGAGAAGGCTGGGACCCATTGGGAAGACAGAACAGACCTGCCAGCACTTGAGAGAGCTGAAGTCGGCTCTGTAACTTGGAGTTCATGGGCAGGAGGCATGCAGTGGCTAACCCAGAGCTTGTGCCTTTCTGACTGGAGAATATTATATTATCATCCATGTTTTTTCTTGTTGCTCCACCATAGGAGAGGGTCCTTCCAAAATAAGGCTTTTGCACCCTATGCACTTGCACATGTGGGGTCACGCTGGTGTGGTCTTGGGGGACGCCTTTGACACAGAAAATCTGTGTGCTGAGTCATGGGACTTGGCTCTTGGAGGACTCAGTGAGGGTGGGGGCTGAGCAGTGTTGGGCAGATCTGGAGGGGTGCCTGGGGGAGAAAGAGACGAGTTGTGGGTGGGTCTGGGGCCCCCCACCTGCCCCTCCACCTCTGCCCTCTGTCTCTCCCCGCCCAGCCCATGAATGCCACCTCCGCCTTTGGCCCCAACCTGCGTTACATCGTCAAGTGGCGGCGGAGAGAGACTCGAGAAACCTGGAACAACGCCACCGTGTGGGGCTCCCGCTACGTGGTCGGGCAGACCCCTGTCTACGTGCCCTACGAGATCCGAGTGCAGGCCGAGAATGACTTTGGGAAGGGCCCTGAGCCAGACACGGTCATCGGTTACTCCGGAGAAGATTGTGAGTACCTTCCCCCGGCCTGCACTCAGGGCCCCCCGGCTGGGCTCACAGACTAGGAACGGGGTGGGTCCTGGGGCTTCCCAGAACTGCGAGGACAGCTAGATCCCGGGAAAGAGAAACTGATCTACGTAGCAGCAGATGGGCCCTCATAGTGTCGGGAGCGGAAGTGTGTCATCTGGGCACCAGTTAAAATTACTCCGCGTCATCACCTAGTCCAGTACTCTATGTTATGGATGTGAACACAGGCCCCCGCGAGGAAAATGTGGGCCGTATCACACAACAGCAAGTGCTGGGCGTGAAAATCGAGCCCAGGCCTCCTGGTCTGCCTATTGCCAGTCCTCGCTGCACCAAGAAAGACTTCAGGACTGTGTATCCCGAGGAGCCATTAGCTCCGCCCAGGAAGCAGGGCCTTGGGCCAGACTCCTCCCCCGGCTCCCCCGGCTCCCCGGCCAGCCTTCAGGGATGGAGGAGGTCTGCAGAGCCTCAGGCTGGAGCCACCCAGACCAGCTTCCTGCCAGCATTCCCAGGATGCTCTTGGCTCTCAGAACTGAGCATAAAAAGAGAAGTCCCTTAGGAGCTTGCACGGGGTGAATCAATGAGATTCTGGGCAATGTATGTGGAAGTAGGTGCCTGGCTTCCCAGGCGGTGGTGGCTTCTTTGTCCCCAGCACATCAATTCGGTAGACAGCTGAGCGAGGCAGGAGAGTGAGTGGAGCACCACCCCCTGCCCTCCCCCCGCCAAGTCAGGGTGAATTGTACCACAGTGGGTCTGGGTCAGATCTAAGAAGAGATCATGGGGTGACTGAAAGGGAGGGGGGCTGAGGAGAGTCTTAGGGAGGAGTGGAGTCACAGGGGCAATACTGGAGTCAGGAGCCGGGCCAGCAATGTTTGAACAGTGAGACCTGAAGAAGTGAGGGTTGGGGCCTGTGCTCCACTTTCCTGGAGGTGATTATGGATTGAACCCACTTGGGAGATGAGGTGGGCGGGGGGGGGGGGGGGAGGCAAGGAGGGAAGGTCAGCAGGCCCCTGTCCATCCCACTCCTCATCGCCGTGGTGGCAGACACTTCTGGACAGGAGACTCCTGGATGGCAAGTATGGGATGGGCAGCATCTGGTCATGAACTTCATGGACCACCCCCCAGTCTCCATTGCATCTGCCTGCTCTGTGGCCTCTGCTCTGAGGGAGTAGAGGGGGTGAGGCCGAACCGCTGCTGCAGCGGAATGGAGAAAGGGGGCGGAAACCAGTTTGGGGGAGGGAGTGGCCCTCCCATTGCAGGTGGTCATGGATAAGGTGCCTCTATTCTGGTGGTGATGTTTCCTGGCAGGAGGCAAATGCCACTCAAGGCGGACTGTTTCTGATGTAAGCACAGGGCTGGAGGGGCAACAGCTTAGTATGGTGACCACCTGGAGGGCCAGGGGTGGGTGAGTCACCATGCCATCAAGGACCACCCACAGGAGCCAGGGCCTTGGGCAGAAGAATGCAACGCTGTCAGCTGTCAGCCCCACAAACAGGCGGCAAGGGGCATAGCTACGTCTCCTGCCCCAGGATCTCCTGTTGGCGCCTCCTATTGGGCAAACCCATCCGGGAACCTGAGAACAAGGAAGCCCAGCTGACTTGGTGCAGGAAGGGCAGCCTCCTGGGACATGGCGCAGGGCGGGGAAGGGCAGAGAATGCAGTGGAGGGCACACGAAGACTACTCAGCACCTGAGGGTAGCAAATCCCTGCCCTCCTACCTGGGCTGCCACCCTTTTGTCCTGAGCCTTTCCCCACTCCTCCCAGCGCAGTCTGATGGAGGAGACAGAGCCCCTCCCTCAGGGTCCAGAGCAGGGTAGAGGGTATGGGCAGCAGAGAAAAGCCGAGGGGAACTTGGGTTCCTGGGGCCAACCGTGCCAGCATAACCTGCTCTCTGTCCCAACACATTGCAGATCCCAGGGCTGCACCCACTGACGTTAAAATCCGAGTCCTGAACAGCACAGCCATCAGCCTTCAGTGGAACCGCGTCTACTCCGACACGGTGCAGGGCCAGCTCAGGGAGTACCGAGTGAGGAAGCCAGCTCCCAGCCCCGCCTAACCACCCGCTCCATAACCAGGGCAAGGGGTAGCAGGTGCAGGCCAGCGGATGTTTGGGAGGGGGCCTTGGGGGAACTATGGAACCCAGAGGTAATTCAAGAAGATGATGTCTAGGGTTAGTCCCTCAAAATTATACTCCTATACATGGACACACACTCCCAGGTGTGTGTGTCTTGCAACGGAAATGCTGAGAGAGGATGCTCAGCAGGAAATCACATGAAGGGCCGTGGCTTTGGGTGGATGTTGCATCGCACGCCATGCCTGTAAGGCGTGAGTGGATGCACACGCATTCACGGAAGCTCTGTTGAGGCACCACTGAGCTACACCCTGCCTGCTCCTAATGGTCCCCGCTGGGCTGCTTGCCTCTCCTGGTCTGAGTTTGGGAAGCCCCAACTAACAGGTGTAACCGCTAAAAGGGTGCAGAAGCCTTCCCTGTGGTCACCGCCACGCCAGGTGATCCAGCACCGGGGCCATCCGGCTCTTGGCTTCTGGTCTTCCTGCCTGGGGGTGGTTTCTGCTCAGTCTTCTCTCTTCTTTGAAAGGGTGAGCTGAGTTGGGGGAAAGGGAGAGGAAACTCAGGATAAGCAAGGCTCTTCCTAGGAATGGCTCTGTTTGAAAGTGGCCTGGGAAGCGAGGGAGGCTGTAGCCACGGGATACTCACACAGGTTCACTGGTGGAGCATTGGCTGGTGGACAATCGGGGGCAGAACGGAGGGGCCAGTCTCTCCTTGGGAAATGAGTTTGTAAGTGGGGGGAAGGCAGGCAAGATGATGTTCACACTTGAACGAGCTCTCCCCTAACATTTGCCCTTTACCTTGAACCTCCTTGCCTGGAGGTTGTTCTGGCTAAAGGTCCCATTGGGTGCCCTCTTAAACCTGGACTTCCTCCTTACCTTGCCGATGGAGGCCTAGGTGGCGCTAGTGAGACATCTTGACCTGGCGCTTCCTACCCACTGCTAATCAGACCCTGTGTCGCACACACTGGCTCTCAGCCTTCCCTGGGCCACTGCCACTTCCCATAGGCCGTCCCGTCCCAGCTCTTGCCACCAGGCTGCCTGGCTTGTCACTGACGTGGACACCGATTCTAAAGGTCTTCAGACAATATTAACAGCAACATTTGACTTCAAAGGCTTAAAACGGCTTTTTCTCCTAGTCAGACTTGTGGGGGTAACCCGCTATTTTCCAACTCCTCCTGCCGCCAGGCTTATACCATACTAATCCTGCTTGGGGGACTGGGCCTCTGAGCACAGGACACAGCTTGCCACGCTTGGACCCGTGGCCGGTATTTGCAGTTTTGGCACAGACTCCCTGAGCAACCTGGTCCCCAGCTTCGAAATGAGGCTCATGGTGGAGCAGCGTGGGCCTGGCCAGCTTGCCTCTTCTCCGGAGAGGCGACTGAAACCAAACACCCTGTTGCTTGTTTGACATCCGTTCAGACGGGCTCAGTGGCTAACGAATGGGGACTGTCGGCCACCTCCCCGCCCGGCGTGGCCCTGATGAGCTCGTTTGGGACATGGAGCCTGTGGCAGCAAAGGGAAGACCGGTCACTACCACCACCACCACCACCACTAACCACTAACCCAGCCCCGCCTGGCGCCCCCTCACCGGCCTGCTTCTGTCCTGAAGGCCTACTACTGGCGGGAGAGCAGCTTACTGAAGAGCCTGTGGGTGTCTCAGAAGAGACAGCAAGCCGGCTTCCCGGGTGACCGCCTCCGGGGCGTGGTGTCCCGCCTCTTTCCCTACAGCAACTACAAGCTGGAGATGGTTGTGGTCAATGGGAGAGGCGATGGGCCTCGCAGTGAAACCAAGGAGTTCACCACCCCGGAAGGAGGTAGGTCCGACCTGCAGCGCCTCAGGGTGGGGCAGGCCCAGGCACCGCGTTCCGGTGGACATGGAGCGGCCCCAGGTGGCGTGGTACGGACAGCACCACTTGACCTCTGCACGACCTCGAGGAGCTGATGACCTGTGAGCTGCGCAGCTCCTACCATCCCCACACAGCATCGCATCGCCTATCTGACCTGCCCTGATGAGGTTGTGCCTCGAGAGAACACTGGTGCGGTCTGATGACGTAATTCCAGACGGGCACACAGACTGACGCCCAGGGCACTGGGAGAACCACGGCTGCCTGCCACCTGAGGCTGAAGCGGTCAGTCACCCTGACCCCCTAGACTAGGCATCGGTCAGTGGGCCAGCAGCCAGGACCTGCACAGCTCTCGCCACTGCAATCAAGAAGCTTCTGCTGAGGTCGTTGGCCCGCGGGGGCAGTGGCCCTGCAGAGGGGCGCCTGCCGACTGCAGGTTCATGGCTGCCCTGGCCAGGGAGGCAGACCCCTACCAAGTCCCCAGGCCATCTCCTGTTCTAGCCAATCTTTTCTCGTCAGCTTGGCGCTTTCTTCGCCCGTTTCTGTTTCTCCTCCCTCTCGTCTCAGCTGTTATTTTCCTCTTCTCTTCCTCCTTTCTTGACTCTCCTTTGTTCTTCCCTCGTGCTTTTTTTTTTTTTTTTTTTTATCTGTTAATTTTGGAGAAAGAGAGAGGACCATTGATTTGTTGTTCCGCTTTTTTATGCATTCATTGTTGATTCTTGTATATTCTCTACTAGGAATTAACCCACCACCTTGGTGTATTGGGACGACGCTCTAACCAACTGAGCTAACCGGCCCCGGCCCCTCTTGCTTTCTGTATTCCTGTCTTTTCCTCCTCCTTGTTTGTGTGTGTGTGTGTGTGTGTGTGTGTGTGTGTTGTTGTTGTTTTTTAATATGTTTTCAAGGAAAGGAAGCGAGAGAGAGAAACATCAATGAAAGAGAATCATTGATCTGCCTCCTGCACACCCCATATTGGGGCTCAAGCCTGCAACCCGGGCATGTGTCCCGACCAGGAATCGAACTGTGACCTCCTGGTTCACAGGTCAATGCTCAACCATTGAGCCACACTGGCCAGGCTTGTCTTGGTTTTGATCATCAGCTTCCCCACATCTCTCCTGCCCCTCACCTATCCACGTGCTCCATCTGGGCTTTCTTTCCTCTCCCCCTGAGCCCAGCGCCCTCAGCTCAGTTGCGTGGGCCTGCTGCTGGGACCTGCAGGTGACAACCCTTGTCTGAGGACAAGGAGCCTGGGCCTCCAGCCTCCGAAGGAAATAGTGACAGTGGTTTCCCTGCTCGAGGCGTGCTCTGCCCCTCTTGGGGGTATCTTTGCAGCATTGGAGCCTAATGTGCTCAATCCACGGCAGTTGCTATAGGAACCCTTGGTTTACTTCTCCCATTTAAACAGAGTCGGAGCCAGGCTTGTCCTGAACGGGGGGCACCCATCCTGGATGGACCGTGGGCTGTGGCTTGGCAGCCGCCTAGCATGGGGGTTGCCCTGTCAGTGCCTTCATACTTGTGCTTTGTTTTGTTTTCCTCCTCCTGCCCGCCCCCTCCCACTCCCCTCACCTCCCCCACTCTCCTCTCCTTCCCCAAGTACCCAGCGCCCCCAGGCGCTTCCGCGTCCGGCAGCCCAACCCGCAGACAATCAACCTGGAGTGGGACCACCCGGAGCACCCCAACGGCATCTTGACCGGATATTCTCTCCGATACGTGCCCTGTACGTCCCGCTCTGCTTGCTCTTCGCTAATCTGGGGGTCAGGAGCCCTATGCTCACCACTTTGTCTGAGGACCCCAGAGGCCTGGCAGAGGGCACTGCCAGGGGAACAGTTCCCCCAAGATTAGGGGAGGCAGTGGGACCCAGCCCTGCTTTCCTAGCACAGGTCCCTCCAGCAAGGAGCGTCTAGGCGCCTGTGAGACATAGGGAACTTCTGGTCTAATGAGGGGTCCAACCCCAGTCCTCGGGGATCCTATAGTCCCAACACCTACAAGTCTCGGAGAGGGCTCCTCCTCTGACAGAACGGCCATCAGATGGGGTAGACCAGTGGTCGGCAAACTGCAGCTCGAGAGCCACATGCGGCTCTTTGGCCCCTTGAGTGTGGCTCTTCCACAAAATACCACGTGCTGGTGCACATGTACAGAGCAGTTGAAACTTTGTGGCCCAAGCACAGAAGTTGGTTTTTGGCTCTCAAAAGAAATTTTAGTCGTTGTCCTGTTGATATTTGAGTTTGCCAACCACTGGGGTAGACAGTGCCCACATGGAGTCCACACAGCACTCGGCCACTCAACTAGGGGTCAGTTATGGGAAGGCGGCTGTATGGAGACCTGGGGAGAACTTGGAGTGACCCCATAAAGACCTCGCCTCAGGAGTTCAGTATCACCCTGCAGGGACAGGAGTGTCCTTACATTTGAAAAAACGTGAAGCCCTTTGCCCTCTAAAGTAGGCCATGTTGCCTCTCAGTGGGGCGCTCTAAGCCTTAGAGTCTAAGGCACATGTGTCAAACACAAGGCCCGCGGGCCAAATCCGTCCCGCCAGGCCTTGCAATGTGGCCCGCACCGCGCTGTCATCACTGCACTCCACTGTGTTTCCATCACAATGACAGTTTATGACTGTTCAGTAAACCATTCGGCCCGCAATTTAGGCTGGATTTTAGATTTTGGCCCCTTCTCTGATTGAGTTCGACACCCCTAGTCTAAGGGCTGGGTAATGCGTTAACAATTTTAACCCATTGCAGATGGCTCACGAGAATTCTCGTGTTTTCTGTTCTAAGGCTTGTGGACAATCACAGTAATTCTTTAAAAGGATATTAGCTTGTAAGAATGTGTAACAAATAACTTCAAAATGCAATGGGTATTTAATTCTAAAGCATGCCTTTAACATGTACGTAAAACTTTTTTGTGCTCGTTCAATAGAAACTTACCTGGCCCTTGGCTAAAGCTAGCAATAAAGCTGCTGGTCCGCAGTGGGTCAGTACCCACCTGTGTGCTCTGTGCTGCTCCAGTTCCAGCCTGAGTGATCAGAGGTGTACCTTCGAGGTACACTGAACAGGCTATTTACAAAGGAAGCATTAAGTAGACACTCCAGTGCAAGCATGTCAAACTCAAAAGGCCAACACGAGCCAAATACATGAGGCCTGTGGCCTGCGGGCCACGAGTTTGACATGCTTGCTCTAGTGGGTTTGCCCTAGTTGTGTTTGAAAGGAAGAAAGAAACCCATAAGTTTGAAAGAAAGAAAGAAACCCATTGAAAAGGCTTGGAGATGGTACACAGAGTCTTTCAGAATCAGCCGCATAACTACAGTGAGCCTAAGATCACAGGATGAGTGAAAAGTATTGTAGCAACCCTGGTGTGTCCTCAAACAGCAGGAAGGAGCCCCTGCCCTGCCCGCTGCCTTTGGTCGAATCTCTCATCCCCCAAGCCACATGTGTCAAACACAAGGCCCGCGGGCCAAATCCATTCCGCCAGGCCTTGCAATGGGGCCCGCACCACGCTGTCATCACTGCACTCCGCTGCGTTTCCATCACAATGACAGTTTATGACTGTTCAGTAAACCATTCGGCCCGCGATTTAGGCTGGATTTTAGATTTTGGCCCCTTCTCTGATTGAGTTCGACACCCCTACCCCAAGCCGTCAGGTGCTCACACGGGGCGAAGGGGCGGGTTGCACCGTATCCCTTACAGCTGAGCCGGGAAGGTCTGCAGCTGCAGCTTATGTAACTGATCGCGGTCAGCCCTGCCGAAGTTCAATTCCATGTGCCTGTCTCTCCCCAGTTAATGGAACCAAACTAGGGAAGCAGATGGTGGAGAACTTCTCTCCCAACCAGACCAAGTTCACGGTGCAGAGAGCAGACCCCGTGTCCCGCTACCGCTTCACCCTGAGCGCCAGGACGCAGGTGGGCTCTGGGGAGGCCGTCACGGAGGAGTCGCCGGCTTCCCCGAATGAAGGTAGGTGCACTGTGGGGGCCTTGGGGTGACGGGGCCCAGCTAACTCAGAGAAAACTCTGACCTGGCCCCTGGCTGCCCGGCCTCCTGGGATGGAGGGGAAAGCAGGCTACAGGTCTTTCAAGGAAAGCAGGGGGCCCGTCTTGTGTGCTGGCAGGTAGGTAGGTAGGTAGGTGCTGGACAACTCAGGTCCCTTAGACTGGTCATCAGACCCGGGTCCCCACATTGCCTGGTGAGGGACACGGAAGAGATGAGAGAATGTGTGTTGGAAGTAAATAGGCTAGTGAGCCCCAAGGAACAGGGAAAGCGCTCGCCTGTTTAGGGACAGGAGTGTTATTACATTTGCAACGGGGTCTGCTCTCTGCACCTTGAACTTGGCCTGCATGTTGACAGTGTCCACCCCGGCTCTGGGGACACCCCTTCTTCTCCCAAGGGCACATGGATTCAAGGAGGGAGGGGAGAGAACCCTGACTGAAGCCACCTGTCCGGAGCATGAGTCGATGTAGTCCCTCCTTGCAGCCCGAACGGAGGGAGTTGTCAGGCTGCAGAGAGGAAGGGGGATTGGGAAACAGCCATTTGCCAAACCGGCTTCACAAAGAGCAAATGGATTCATCTCCTGGGTCATGGCGTCTTCCTGGAGCCTAGCAATCCCCGCCGGAGCGGAACTTCCAGAGAGCTCCACTAGAGGGGGCTCCAGGCCCAGCCGCACATGCTGACTAGTACCAAGGAGCCTCTTTCCGGTGTATGAAAGGGGGGGACCCCACTGCCTCTCCACAGGCACAGTGATCCTTTCCACAAGCCCATTTCTTGAGCCCCCACACTGTGAGGTGGTAGGCACGGTGCCAGAAGTGGGGGACACGAGGTAGGAAGCTCACACCGTCTAGAAGGGCGACATCCATGAGAACGTCCAGTTGCAGTTTAGCAAGAGGAATGTTATGCTCAGATGGGGCAGGTGCCATGGTTGTGCCGGGGCTGGGGCGTTGAGGCTGCAGGGGAGGCTCCAGAGGAGAGGTGGTGTGAGTGGGGTCCTTGGGGCTGGGAGCAGGTGATGTGTCTCGTGCTTTCTCCAGAAGACTGGAGGCCCAGATCGGACCTCAGAGAACCCTACCCCACCCAGGGGAGCACCAGCCCCTCACTCCCGGGCTGCCAGGCCCTGCTGCTTCTGCTGCCTTAACCCAGGTCTCCCAACTCAGCTTCCTAAGCAGCTCTGCACCCCTTCCCAGCAGCCAGCACCGGGGTGGGGGTTGGGGGCAGGCAGAGGTGGGCGGCAGGAGCTGGAGAAAGGCTTGCAGTCCTTTCTGAGGTCCTCTCTGGTCTCGTAAACCAGGAATGAGTCACACCATAGGCTCCCTCCTCCTGTGGCCTCCCAGCCCCATTGGGTGGTTTATTGGGGCCGGGGGGCTTGGGTAAGTGGTCCCGGAGGTGCTGTAATCCAAGGCCCAGCCCGACCAGAGGCGATCACTTGCTTATTTAGCTCGAAGGAGATCCATCAGGAGAGCCTCTTCTCCTCCCCATCTCCCACCCGGAATGGAACTCGGAAAAAGTCCCATTGTCCAGCCCAGGGACCACCGGGGAAAGTTCCACAGCCCCAAGCGACAGGGGGACAAAGACCTTCTTCTCCAGCCAGGGATTTGCAGCAAAGTCAGGGATTCGTTTTAGGGCTCCGTCCACAGAGTGGGTGTCTGATTTCACAAAGCACAGCTAGTGGGAAAGAACGGGGCAGCAGAGCAGGACGGGGGCCTCGGGGATCTGGTCTGTCCCCGCTCCCAGGCCTTCCCAGGTGGAGGGAGTGTGGGAGGGCTCAGCCAATATGCCCACCCTTCTCCCATCCACCTCAGCGTTATCCAACGTCTCCCCGCTAAGATCCCAGAACCATTCTTTTGTCTGGGGATGGTGTCCTCCTATACCACCTGCACCCTCAATTCCTGGCATCTGGGGGAGTCACCCAGCCTCCAGCCTCCAGGCCAGCCAGTCAGGGCAGGACAGCCTCTCGGTAAAAGGCCTAGGGACATGGCTCTCTAGGTGGCCTGTCCCTGTCATCACCTCTCAGGTGAGAGTCCTTGAGTAGAGGTAGAACCAGAGGGCATTGGAAAAGCCTCCAAAAGCCAGGTAGAAAGTTTTCTGTGGAAACGAACCAGACCCCACTGGCGTTGAACATGAGCCCCGAACACTAGCCGGCCTCCTCGGGGCAGTGGCCAGCACCTGTCCACGCCATCTCTGGTCAGGTTTGAGCCAGAGCCTCCTCTGCCTGTTGTCCTGTGGTTTCACCTGTATTCTGTTTTCTCTTCCCTCTCGTATCCTTTCTCCCTCTCTCTGGCCATCTTGGGCGCTGTGCTCTGAAGCTACTCCAACCGCAGGTACCGTACCAGCCGCGGAGGTAACGGGCATGGCAGGGGGTGTCCCAGGTGGAGGCCAGCCAAGGCGGAGAAGGAGGGAGAGGCTCAGAAGAAAGCATGCGCCAGACTCACCCTTTCAGGGTCGGGCAGCCGGACTGTCAAGGAGGATGTGTGTAGAGGATGCCGCCGGAGTCAAACACATGCTCATCCCTCCACTTCCTGTTTATCTGCCCCCTATTGCGAAGGGGGATGACTTAATAGGGGCCCACACACACATGTGGGCCCCACACCTATTCTCTGGAGCGGCAGCCTTCTCTGAAGCTGAGCAATGGCTTCCTTGCACCACCTGGGCCCTTGCCTCGGCTTGACATCTCAGAGCCCAGAGAGAGGGTCACGGTCTTCAGGTGGCCCCTGTGCCCCAAGAAGGCATGCTGCACCCCGGTGGGCACAGCTAGCTCCCATCCTCTGGTCCGGCTGCATGCCCTGAAAGGGTGACACTGTGCATGCTGGCCTTGCATGCTGCATGGGGGCCCGGCACCAGCTCTGCCATCTCCCGTGGGTTCTGGTCAGTGAGAACCAGTGGGCATATCTTTGGACAGAGGCAGGTGCTCCAGGATCTGGAGTCTCTGGGTGCCATGGGCTGACGGTGCCCTCACCCTTCACAGCCAGCTTCTCAGAGTGCTCAGCGTTAAGCACAGCCTCCACTCTCGTCGGGGGAGGTTGGTGCACACAAGGGAGGCGCTGGGCAGGCAGGTCCCAGCTTAGAAGCCAAGTTCCTCCTCTCCCGTCCTCCTGTGAGGGCTTGAGGAACATCAGAGGGGGCTTCAGCGCAGAAGGCCTCTCCTCAGCTGGAGACACTAGGCAGGAGGCCCAGGTGCGTTCCCCTGCCTCTGAGGCTGAGGACAAGGCCTCATGTGTGGGGCCAGGGCTTGCCAGAGCCTCCTCAGGCTCCGGGCAGCGGGGAGAGCTGAGAACGTGTGAGGAATCTGAGGGTTGGTTTAGGAAGAGGCCACCTTGCCCAATTTGGTTTCCTGCCCACCTTCCCGCCTTTTCCCCCACCCCCGTTTTAGGTTGATTCTATTTCTGTTGCGCACCCTGCTTCCTTCAGTTTGCCTTTGTTTTGTCAGCCAGATCTGGGGGGGACGGGGGAGTGCTCCCATCCCGCTCCCTGCCTGCAGTTCTCTGGGGGTTGCTCTGACTTCTCGATTCACGTCTGCAGAGGAGTCTCTTCTGGGCCCATTTCGGTAGGTGCTCAGGGCAGCTCAGCCTGAGCAGGCTGAGGGAGGCTGAGACAGGGAGGGCGCCCGGAGAACCAGCTAGAAGCTCATTGGTCAGGCAGCTCCTGGCCCATCTACCCCATTCTGGCACCCGGGGACCAGAGGCAGGTGGGCCTGGCGGCAGGGAGTCTGCCTTGCTCATGGGGCATCCATGCCAGTCTGTGCCGCCCCTGTCCAGAGTGGCAGTTGCAAGGGGGGATGGGTGTCATTCCACACGCCCCACTTTGCACTCCGTCTAGAGAAGGTCCATGCTCCAGGTGTGCAGAGTGGATGCAGGGTCTCTGTCCGTCAGTCAGTGTGTTTTGAGACTCCAGCTTCTGTGGGACATGGTCGTAGAGGCCCTGTCCTTTGTGAGGAGCCATGCTGGCTCTCCAGCTGTTCGCTGCTTTCCGTACACGAGGATCTCTGCACAACTTGCAGGCAGCAGGCAATGGAGCCAGTCCACGTTTCTGATTTCCAGCCCACTGTCCCTTGCCTCTCACCCCCCCCCCCCACCCAAACCTGGGTGATTTCCCCCAAACGGATCTGTCTGTGTCCCACCCGGTGAAGATGATCCCTCTCGTGCTCCCATATCTGCTGTCTCTCGGGACTGCTGCCTGTCAGTCCCGGCCATCTGTGGTTTGGCCAGGCGGGCCGTGCACCATGTGGGCATTTTTGGACTGAACCTTCCACCTAGAAATGTCTGGAAAAGGCTGTCCTCATCTCTGACTCAGCTGAGATCTGTAATTGTTGGGTAGGCGGCCTGGGGTCTTGGCTCAGTTTTCTAGGTGGTATTTGTTCCCGAACGTGGAGGAAAGCCTTCGGCCACTGCTGAGCTGCCTGCAGGGAGCATCAGGCCCCCCGTTAGGTAGACACTGCCTTCAGGTCACGGTCCTGGGCTCCCAGTTCTCCATCCCCCTTCTTCTCAGTTGCCAGGCTGGTGGTCACTACCGAGCACGGACCAGGTGGTTCTCCGGCCCGTAGTGCCTGCTGTGGCCGGAGGTGACGTCCTAGCAACTTGTCTTTCAGACTGGGGCCACTCTGTCCATAAGCCCCGCTCCTGGGCTTTATTTCCTTTCTGTCCCTTACCCCGTCCCTGCCCCAGGGCATGGCACCACCTGAACCCCTGTTGAGCTAAGCACTGGATGTGTTCCCCAGGGGTAACCTTCCTTCTTCTTCCTTCTCCTCCCTCCTTCTCCTTTCCCCTGCACACACCCCTAAACTCACTCACCTGACCCTCTGTCACTCCTTTAACAACTCACTCACCTGACCCTCTGTCACTCCTCTCAGCTCACTCACCTGACCCCCTGTCACTCCTCTAAGCTCACTCACCTGACCCCCTGTCACTCCTCTAAACTCATTCACCTGACCCCCCGGCCCTTCCCTCAGAGCCCCTCGCCTCTGTGCTCCCGTCTCTCTGGCCTGTCCAGCCATGGGAGTGGAGACACAGCTAGCGGGTGGTCAGAGTGCTTATTTGCCAGTTGACCTCAGACAGCTAAGGTTGCAGCCACCAAGGTGCCTCCCGTGATGTCTGGGAAACATATCATTCCTCCCCTCTTACGCCCCTCGGGGTCCCCTCACTGATTCCTGAGACTGCTGCCACTGAGCCCAGGAAAGGCAACCAGGTAGCCATCATCGGAGTCACTTTCTTTCCGTCCCTCTTGGCAAAGGGACCAACAGAGGGAGGGGCGGGACCCTGTGGAAGCATCCTCAAGCTCTTTTCATTCTTGTCTCTGACCAACAGGCCCAGGGAGAGCTCGCTCTAACCCGCCTCTCTCAGCATCCCCGCCCCTCAGGCCGCTCGCGGGGGCACACAGGGTCGCATGCGTGAGCCCGGCTATGTGAGCGTGCACGTGTGAGCGTGTGAGCGTGAGCGTGTGAGTGTATGTGCTCTGCTTGCACGAGGACCAAGGGGCACGTGAGAGTATGGAGAGCGTGGGAAATGTAACGCCACTGTGTGTGGGCAGAGAAGCCCAGGTCTCTGAGTTTCACAACGTGGGATGATTTAAGTTAAAAGGGAATCATTTGAGGTGTGTTTTTAATGACACCTTTTAGATAATTATAGAAAAGCAAGGCCTGTGAACATTTGCCAGAAACTTTCAGAAAATACACTGTGAAGGAACCAAATTGGAGCAGTCCAGGCCAGGGCGGTCTATGCCTCTGGAGGCCCCTCCCAACAGCAGGAGCGGTTGTGTGTCTGTGGCCCATGGGTTTCCATGGCCGTGGGAGCTGCCAGGACCCAGCCTGGGAGAGAGCCGACCTTTGCCTGGTGGGCCTCAGGGTGTGCCATGGATATGTGTGTCTGTCTGTCTGTCTGTCTGTCTCTCTGTCTTGGTGAGTAGATGAAATCCCTTCTGCTGAGCTTTTATAGCGCTGAGCCTTCCAGGTTGGGGCTACCTGGGACTGAATATGTCCTTGAGTGATGCCTGGGAGAGGGAGATGACCCCATGTACCCCCCCACATGCCTTCCTGATGTCTGTGGGGTGAGTGGGGCTTGAGGGACATCCCACCGTTAGCCTGGCCTCCGCCCAGGAATCCCCGGAATGTGTTAGAGTCAGCTGCCCAGTGTGGCTCTGTGGTCAGCACCCTCGGGGCCCAGCAATGCCTGTGATGCTACAACTAGGGAAGTGACAAGGGGTTCGGGAACAATCCCTGCTCTGTGGGGCACTTGTCACATTGGAGGCCTGGGGCATGAGAGGGCTCTTGTTGGTCAGGCTCTTGTTGAGAAAGTTTAGGATCTCTATTCTCCCCTGAGAAAAGCATTCTGGCCGTTTTCTTCCTGGCTCCCTCCCTGGCCTGGCCCCCTTTGGCGGGGTGGGGGTAGTATGGAGGTTTGTGACAGGACCTCTATTCTTTGGGAGTTAGAGCTCATTGCTAATGTCTTAACATCCGGCCCCAGCCCCATTAGCATCCACACCAGCAGGTGGACTGTGATCAGGCCACAGAGATCAGACCCTCCAGCCATAGCAGGACGGGGCCTACAGGGCAGTAGCTTCCAGAAGCTGAGAGGAGAGGGAGAGGGCGTTTGGAAATGTGGCCACACAGAGACTGAGCCCCAAGGGCTGGCCTCCAGGGAAGGTGAGCTTTGGGTGGAAGATGAGAGCATGAGTTAGCACCGATGGAAGCCCCTGATGATTTGTGCAAAAAAGAAGACATGGCATGTATCTCGCTTGTGATTCGATTTGTGTCTGCTGTGGGCTGGGAGGCGGTGCTTCCGTCTGTGCCCTCTCTCTTGTTCTAATGCAGAAGGGAAGAACGTGGAGTGCCTGGACCCCTAATGTCCTAGAGAGAAAGGCAGTTATTGCCATCCAGGGGTAACTGCGGGGGGGGGGGGGGGGGGGGGGGACACGACAGTCACTGGCGGAGGAGGGAAGGAGAGCCTGGGAGGGGAGATGGGAAGAGGCATGAAGTGTATCCTCTGGCGGCATTGGAACTCAGCAGGTGGGGGGCAGGTAATTTGGGGTGAGTGGTCAGGAATGTCTGGCTTCCTGGTGCTCCTTTAGGATAGAAACCAGCCGTCTGCCCCACTCCAAGGCCAGGCTCCGGGTCTGGGTCGACATGGTGTCGCTTGGCCTGTCATGGGTGGCGCTGGCCCGGGACCCCATGCCGTCATCCTTGAGGTCTAAGCGATCCGTACATGTCCCTTCCAATCCTCTTCCCTGCCCTTGGCTGGATGCATGCTGGATGCTTTGAGCCACACAGACCAGGAGAAGAAAATGAAACGCTCGGGCCTTCATTCTCTTCCTGCCACATGGCTGTGTCCTTTCCCTGGGATCCGGGTGACCCAATCCTTCCGCACGCTGACCCCCGAGCTCCGTCCGTTGCGGGGCTGCCTGCCTTGCACGCCACGGGGGCCCAGTGTCCAGGTGGCGACAGCCACACCAACCAGACTCGGCTGTTTTACATTTTCCTCTCAGCTCCTCCCACGTTGCCCCCGACCACGGTGGGCGCCACGGGCGCCGTGAGCAGTACCGATGCTACTGCCACTGCTGCCGCCACCGAAGCCACAACAGTCCCCACCATCCCAACCGTCGCACCTACCACCATCGCCACCACCGTCGCCACCACTACCACCACCACTGCCGCCGCCACCATGGAGAGTCCTCCCACCACCAGGATTAAGACACACGAATCCGGTACTGCCCGCTGTCCACGCTCCCGTTCCTCTGCCCACAGGCGTGCGGACAGGTGGGGTCTGGGACGTGGTGGCCAGCACCTCCCTTTGTTTCTACTGTGAAAACACACACAACTGGATTGTCAGTCTGGTAGCCAAGTGGCGCCGGGTACCCCTCGCCCTAGCCTCAGATCCCTGTCCTTGAACAGAGGGCCACACTCCTTAGGCAGGACCCCCGGGTCCCTCCAACCATATGCCAAGCAGTCAGCTCAGGGCTGAGCCGCTCCAGGAGGGAGAATGTGGGGAAGGACAGGGGCCTGACCCTGGACAGCTGTCCTAAGAAGGCTCCCCGCCCTGGCCATGTCACAGCCAGCCTTGCAGAAGGGAGGGCCAAGGAGCGGGCAGTGGCTGGCCATGCCTGGGATCTGTTCCCACAGCCCTGCCCCTCCCTGGCCCCTCTCCCCCAGGTCACACTTACCCTTCTCCTCAAGAGTCAGAGCTTCCAGGAAACGGTATTGCCGCAAGGTGCTCTGCTTCCCTCTCACACTCCCGTTGCCTCCATGGAGGGCGGGGGGGAGCACACCCTCTCCAGGGGGCCCGGTAAGAATCGATCCCAGACTGGCCTGCTGGGCCCAGATACGTGCTGTTCCCGCATCACAGAGCCAGGCCGGCAGCTCTGTTCTTCCCACACACGGAGACCCCTTGGGAATCCGGCAATATTTCTAAGAGCTGAGCATCCAACGCTCTTCTTACCACGGAGGGGAGGGCCTCTAGCTGGCAGAGCCCTTGGGCCACTGTAAGGTCATGTGATGCCGCCGGAGGGCTGGCGGGAAGCACCCAGACCCTTCCCAGCAGCTGTGCCCCGGGCAGTCCCCTTCCCCTGCGGAGGCCTGCTCCCACCTTGCCACTTCTCTTGGCGTGAGCTGGGAGCCTCGCCCACGTGTGTTTTCTTTAATGCAGTGTTTCCCAAACCTTTGACATATGTGTGCCCCTTCTATAATTTTTGTAACGCTGAGTACCCCTCATACTCATGAGAATGTAGAATTAGGCGCAGCTAAGCACGGTGCAGTGCATATCCCCACCAAACTCCGGTGCAACACGTACCCCCACCAAACTCTTCCCGTACCCCTGGGGGTACGCGTACCACTCTTTGGGAAACACTGCAAGTTAAATCACATGGAGTTATGTGAACTGTAAGGGGAGACAAGTGGTTCATAGCTGACATGCCCCTCCCTCTCCCCCCAAGACCTTGAAAACGCTGACTTGCTTTAAAGGTGCAGGACCCAGATTTTAAACAACATGCATACTCTTTTGGAAATAATTGGCTGAGGAGAAGCCTGCTGGGCTATTAGAAGCTGCCAGCAGTGTTTGGTGATGGAGATCCTTTGGGGCCCCACAGTGAGGCGTCTTTTGCATGAAAATGGGGCTTCGTGTCCCACTTGGAAGCTTTGCGTCCACAGAACTGATAGATGAGGATGAGGAAGGGGAGTGGGTCTCATTGGCCACCAGGACCTTGCCTCTGGGAGGATTGGCCTTGCTGCCACACGGGCCTCCTACTGTCGGACTTTTCACTGCCAGGGGCGCTGCGGAGGGCCTGGCCATGCCCCCGATCTAACCTTGGAGCTTGGGGACAGCCCTCAAGCGGCCTCACTTCCTTTAATGCAGCAGAATGGCTCCGATGTTCAGGATTTGTGAAATAAATTCTCATCCTTGTCACGTCTTTCATCTTAGGACCAGGCGCTTACTTTTTTCAGGCTAAAATGGGACTTTGTATCATCTCCTTCAGATTTCAAGGGATTCTCCCTAATTCTCACATTCTAGGCATCACATTCTAGGCACCAGCAGAACAATCCATGCTCCACCTCCCTGACCACCTTGTTTCGTTAGCAATGGATTGCTCTCCTTCTTGGTCTTTCTTTCTGAGAGCTTGTCAGTTCTTCAGGGGTCACCATCTTGTTCTCTCTCTATGGCCATGCCTTCCTCTAGCTCCTGCCTCTAAATTGTGTCGGTTTCCCATCCAGTAGTGCTCCAGTGACCTTTAAGGCAGTGAGGTTTGAGTCAATGTTGTATCAGTGGCCAAACTGTTAAACCCAATTCTCTGGGCTATTTCCAGGGCCCAGAGTTGAGGAGGAGGAAATTCAAGTCCCCTAATCCTAATTCATTCCCACTAGCAAGAGCCACGAGATTCCACGGAATGTGGAATAGTGGAAAGTGGTTCGTAGCTGCTTCACGCAGCCAGTACAAAGGAAACGTCTGGAAGATAAGTAAAGCAGCCTACCTTCTGCCCTCCCCCCTCCAATAGAGAATGCCCAATGGGGCCATCAGTGAAATCTTTTTCTTGGTCTCTCACCTGACATGAATCCTATTCACCTGGGGCAGCTGGCGGCTGACAAGCTTGTAGTGGAGAAGGCACTTCTTTGAAGTGACGACCAGACCTTTTATCACTTCCCAGCCCGCAGATTCAGTCACGTGTCACACAGATAATGAATAAATGCATCACCCATGTGCTCTATGCATTTACTTTTGACAAGAGAGCTGGTGACAGGGCCCCCTTGCATGCTAATAAAATATACAGCAGCCATAGTTGTAAAAGTCTTTGAAATACAAGGCCTCATGCTAGTTACTCCACTGTTAAATCTTTGCTCGGAAATGGAGTAATCACACTGCTGGGACTCTTGAAAAAATGATTACGTGTGAAGATTAGCACCCTTCTCCTGTCCACAGGCGATGGTTTCAGACAGCACGATGGCTTTGATAAAGTAGCTCACGGGAACTAGATAATTAATGTCTCTGTGTTGCATGGAGATCGAGCTTCCGAGACTGTGGTGCTGAGAAGCCAACAGCACAGGATTCTTCTGGTGTCTGGACCACTGCGGGTTGGGTGTGAAGAAGGGGTGATCTTTTCTTGGTCCCACCTTGCCCACGAGAGAAGAGGAAGGGTTCAGACTATCTCTACTTGAGACCCCAAGCTCCCTGAGTCAACCTGAGGCCATTTTCTCCATGGCCCAGGGATTCGGTGACTAAGAATGACGCCAGGGGGCTCCTCAGACCAGAGTCACCTGTCTGGTTCCCACCCTCCTCCCATTTTAGGAGCTCGGAAAGGTTTTCCCATTCTTGGTCCTGTCCTTCCTGCAAATCTCACCATAACCCTTGAGTGACTTTGAAAGATACCCTCTCTCCTTCCTGTAGAGTGAAAGAGATGGGCACCCTTCTAACCCTCTGTCTACACTTGAGCCAACTTGCATTTTCCTGGCCCCTTTCTCTGCCGTGGATGTGAGCGGTGTCCTGAAAAGGGAGTGAGCTGCTCCCTCTATGTGGACACAGACAGTTTCTAGCCCTCCTACATATGGGTCCTTCCGACTGCACCTGCTCGTACCTGGATGGCGTCCTCTGGCCTGGCCACCCAGGCTGCAGCTCAGAGCTCAGTCAGGCCCTGTGCACAGCCACTTTGACTCTCCTTTCCTGGCTGCTCATGTCTGTCTGTTTGTCTCTCTATCTCCAGCGCTGCCTCCCTCCTCACCACTAACTCCTCTTCTAACCCGCCCTTCAGCCCCCGACGAGCAGTCCATATGGAACGTCACGGTGCTCCCCAACAGTAAATGGGCCAACATCACCTGGAAGCACAATCTCGGGCCCGGAACTGACTTTGTGGTTGAGTACATTGACAGTAAGCATTGCTGTGCGGGTGGTGGCGGCGGGTAGCGCAGGTGCCGTTACAGAAGTCCTGGGAACTCCCTGGGCCCAGAGGCCTCTCAGCCTGACTTCATGGTGACAATGGAGTTGACCTGTGCTCAGATGGCAATGAGGTGGGAGGAGCAGGCTGAGGAGAAAGAAGGTGCTCCTGCAGTCGTTAGTGAGGTCTAGGGTTGCATGTGCTGGGGAGGCGCTGGGTAATGGGGCCCTCGATCCACCTCCCGCCCAGGTCGAGGGTTCTGAAGAGCCTCCGAGGCCTCACCTCTGCGTGGGTCTCCTTAGCTCCGAATCCATGTTTCCTGGTGTCTCCGTGAGGCAGGTGGGGCCGGTTCAGACGTGGGGTACAGCTGTGCTTTGCTCAGACGGATGCCAGTGGCCATCGTCAGATACAGACCAGGGTCATTAGTCTCAGGGAGCCGATGGCCTGAGCCCAGGTGTTCCCACTGGGGGCCATGTGCAGATTGGTTAAACTGCAGAGCGATCAGGATATCTGCCGCCTCTGAGTGAAGGCCCCTGTTTGGGGGGAAGGGCGTCAGCCACCATGTAGGCTTCTATGGCATGTGCTTCAAGCACGTAAGCCAACTAACCTGCTGGGCTGGCCACGTAAAGATCTCTGAGGGGAAAACAAGCAACCCTTACTTCTCTGGTTGGAGGGGATTCACATTCACAGGATCCCGCGTTCGGTCCATAATTTTGCAGCTTCCTCCCACCCCATCCACCCTGCACCCCAGGTACCCGGCACTCACTCCTCCTGAATTCTCCACACGGTGAGATGCTATCTGGCCCTCTGACCCTCTTCAGAAGTAGGTCGGCTATTTTTAGTGTGCAGGCTGTGGTGAGGAAGGAAAACCCCAGGAGAGTGGACAGGGTTCCCTGCCGAAGGGCTGTCATGTAGGCGCTGGCACTGTGTGGAAGGCAGGCGTCGGAGCTGCCTGGGGGCCTCCCGGTCTGCACACTGGCCTGGCCCCGCTGGCCCCTGGCCCCTTCCCAGGCTTCTTACCTCCGGCAGGTGGCAGGAGCCTGGCTCTGCCTCTCCAGCTCCTCACGCCTGGCCCTCGGCTGACTGAGGTTTCTGTTCCCCAGGCAACCATACGAAAAAAACTGTCCCTGTTAAGGCCCAGGCCCAGCCTGTACAGCTGACAGACCTCTATCCCGGGATGACATACACATTGCGCGTTTATTCCCGGGACAACGAGGGCATCAGCAGTACCGTCATCACCTTTGTGACAGGTGAGAGGGGATCCGGCCCGGCCGTCCCCTGCCAGCATGGGCATTTCACTCTCATCCTCTCCTCTCTCGGGAAGAGGGCCCTCCCCACCATCCCCCACCTTGCATGGCGTGTCTCAGCTCTTACACTCTGCAGCTCCCAGCAAGACAGGAAGAGCCAAAAGTGCATGCACCGTGCAGAGGCAGCCGCGCTTCTGACCCTGTGGGGACCGGTGGGGAGTGCGGGAAACAGACTGAGGGACAAGGCGCCACCGTTGTTTCCCTGCGCCCCGAACAAAAGGGCGGGGAGCGTGTGCACACTTGGTCTCCGCGGTGGGTGTGGGCTGCTGGAGCCTGTTAGACCCTGTGCTGTGGGCACGGGCTTGCTTCCTGCCCGTGGGATGAGGGGACAGGGTCCTCCAGCGGCCTTGACCCAGAAATCTCTCCAAGAACCGAACCAAGGCTCCCCATGTGTGTTCTCGCCTTGCCACTGTCATCTGCTGTTCAAAACTCCAAAATGTGTTGGTGACCCAGGTTGTTTGGGTTTAATTTTGGTCCTAAGTTTGTTGTGGCTTAAAAGTGATTGGCCGTTTGCCCTGCTGGGGGCGGGGAAGACGCTTCCCAGGATTCGGATCCTCCTGGCTGTAAAGGAGCGTCAGCCAGGGGTGGAGAAGGGTCTTCAGGGGCCCATTAGCAGGCTGGTGGGGCTCAGGAAAGGGCTGAGACTCAGACATCTCTGGGAGGCAGGTAGCTGCAGTCTGGAGCCGTGAGGGCACGTGCTTGTCTGTGTATATCTTTAAAATCAGGCAGGCAGGTGGTATGCTAAGCCCTGCTGGGGTAGGGAGCGTGGGGGTGGGGAGACAGATGAAAGAACCCGTCTCTGCCCCCAGGGATGCCCTAATCAGATGCAGGTTAGTAGACACGAGGACAGGGAAAAAGATGCCACGATGATTTATATGAACTCTGTACGTTGACTTAAATATTCATTACTCTTCCCGGGCCTGGCTGGCGAGGCTGTTCCTGGCAGCTTGCGTCTGTGGGTCACTGCCGATCTGTATCAATGTCTGACTCCACCTTTTTCAGCCCCGTCCCTCCTGGTCTGGGTGTCCTGTCATCCTCTCTGTCCTGCATATGTTTGTGCTATCAAGACTCAGGGAGTCTTGCTGGCCTATGTGGCTCATTTGGTTGATCATCATCCCAGCACCAGAAGGTTGATGGTTTGATTCCCAGTCAGAGCATATACAGGTTGTGGGTTTAATCCTTGGTTGGGGTGCATATGGGAGACAATCAATTGATGTTTCTCTCTCACATCAATGTTTCTCTCTTTCTCTCTCGCTCGCTCTCTTTCTCTCTAATCAATGAAAATATATATATATATTTTTTTTAAATCCAGGGAGTCTGAGAGTCCAGCTGTCCGCTTGAAGCTAGCCAGGCAGGATGTCTGGAAGCGGCCAGGGTGTCCTGGAGACAGACCAAGGAACTGGACAGTTGACCAAGCGGAGCAGGTGGCTGGACTCTGGCTGGCCCAGTAGGGGTCCCAAGCTGTTACCCCCTAGCACATGCATTGATGTGGCTTCATTATGAAAGTGAATCTTGCTTAGAGGCAGGAAGCAAAGATGAGACTCGAGGATTGGGTTCTGTCCTGGGGATGCTGCAGACACTGCGCAGCCTGCTTCAGCGTGAGGCTCTCCGTGCTGTGGGGAGGGTTGGGAGAGCCGGGGAAAAGGACCAGGCCCTGTCCTCAGGGATGTCCCAGTCTGCTTGGGGTATTAAACTCACAGGACAGGAAAAAAAAGGATGATTAATAATCCACTTCTGAGCATTGACTCGGATGTTCGTTTCTCTTTTCCTGCGGTTGGCCGGAAGAGGCTGGTCCCAATAGCTTGATTTCAGAGCGAGTGAGACACTCAGCACCTATACGTTCCCCAGTGGCCCCCTTTAAGCTGGAGTCAGCAATACAGGACCCTAGCTCTGAGCAGAATGCTCACATGCCTCCCTGGCCGGCTGGGAGTCACTATGTGGAAATTACATAGAAAAAAATACCGTCACTTTCTGAAGTTCATGTGTGCCTGTGAGTGTGTCCAGGTCCTTCGAAAATACAGTGTTTCCTGTGGGTGGACCCCATCCACACAGTCCCCCAGGTTCCTGTGTCTCATCAAAGCGACAGTTTGTGAGCATCTCTCGACCTGACCACTGGTCACTTAGGCAACCGCAGGCCACCACTTTAGTCCACAGATTCAGACATGCTCTGGTGGTTCAGGAAGGAGGTGGAGGAAGACCGGGGGGGGGGGGGGGCGTGGGTGACAGGCTCCCTGAGCTTCACCACAAAATCCCACATGGGAAGTCAGCCATCTCCTTGGAGCTCTTGAAGTCAAAGAGGCCCAAGGGGCTACCAACACAGAGCCCTGGACTCTAAGAGGCCAGTCAGCTCTTCCATCATGGGGGGGCGGGGGGGGTGCCGGGAGTGGGAGCACAGCATGGGGTGAGGCAGTAGTGTGGTAGATGCTGATGTCAGGGAAGGAGGGACATTAGGAGCCCTAACTGAGTCTGCCTCATCTCTGCTGTGTTTGGGAGAGACCCAGGACAGGACGAGTGGGAATGGAGAGGTGTAAGCCGATGCTTCCGTGAAAGCAGCCAAGCCAAATTGCATTTGAAGACAGTCCATCCCTATTATATTTATCCATCTATCCTTATTTCTGAAACACAATTCTCCTGCCATCCTTGAGTGGCTGCCCTCTCTTCCGTGGCCAAACCTCACTCCTCCCAGTCCATTAGGAGTCATGGGAATGGTCTACCTTGCAGCTGACATGCTGTTCTGAGTGCGGTTGCAGGGTGTGTGTGGAAGACACAGCCTATGGTCTCTGGTCCATGGTAAGGGGCACTGGGGCCTGTGTTGGCCGGGTGCAGCCCACCTCACCCTAGATCCCACTTGGCTTGGGTTTGTTTTTACTAATGGAGATACCATCGGCACATAACATTGATTACTTAGTTTTCGGTGTACAACCTAATGATCTGTTACATGTATATATTGCATCATGACTACCGCAATGTTTAATTAACATCCATCATCACACATAGTTACAAAACCCACTTAGTTTTGAACAGCCTTCTGTGTCCAAACTTCATAGAAAGTTCTTTGGCCATTTTTGTAAGGACTAAAGGTAACATTTGAGCTTTGCAAGGTGAAGTCAGGAATGAAAAGCTGCACCTGCTCTCCACCTCGCCCCCATGGCCACTTGCCCTGGAACGGTGACTTTGTCCCCAGGGGAAGGGGGTCTTGTAGAGACAGCTCTCAGCTTGTATCCAAACCAGCATCGGGACGATGGCGGAGCAAACAGGCCACTGAGGACATGCAGACCAGCTTCTCTGCAGCAGGTGGGGACCTCATCCAAACACAGGCGGACGCGATTCCTTCATCCCAGCGCCCAGGTGTGGCTCTCGGTCCAGCCAATATTCCTGTGACCCCTGGCAGTATCGGGGCAGAAACAAAAGCTGTTCATCATGTCATATTAGGATTAAATTGGTCATTAATAAGTAGTCACTGACTACTTGTTATGTGAGCAGCAGCATCTAAATACTAGCGCAGTGGTTGGCAAACTCATTAGTCAACAGAGCCAAATATCAACAGTATAGCGATTGAAATTTCTTTTGAGAGCCAAATTTTTTTTAACTTAAACTTCTCCTAATGCCACTGCTTCAAAGTAGACTCACCCAGACCATGGTATTTTGTGGAAGAGCCACACTCAAAGAGCCAAAGAGCCGCATATGGCTCAGGAGCCGCAGCTTGCCGACCATGATACTAGGGGCTCAAAGAACCCCCCTGCTCCCAAACTTTTTATAGTATCCTTGGAAAGCAGGACCCAGGAAAGAGGGCAATTAAATGTTACGTTGCCCGAAGTAAATGGAGTTCAGAGACTGGTGTTGGCTGGAAGAAGGGAAGATTCCAGAAGGAGGGTAGAATGAAGGAGAGCAAGAGGGATGGCAGTGCAGATGCTCTTGGGCAGGCTGGGAACGGTGCAGGGAGGGAAGGCCAGAGCACATGGAAGGCCAGGCCTCACGGGAGTGTCCTAGGAACATACAGCATAATGGTCTTCGGGATCTCACAGGCAGAGGGTGAGACCGTCTGGAATGGAGCAGTGAGGGGAACACGAGAGACACTTTGGAAGGAGACATGATAGCCCGCAGAGATAGGGAGAATGGTGAAGCCACTGGCAGAAGCAAGGGGCAGGGAGGGGCAGGAGACATGATGAATTTCAAGCAGATGGGCCATTCAATGAGTTGTTTATGTGGAAGTGCTGGGCTTATGGGGTGGAACTGGCTGGAGGGCCATGAGAGATGAATAAAAGGATTGCCAGTGAAGGAACCAGTCAAGGATGCAGAGGTAGGTTTGGGAAAGAGCCACTCCACAGGGGTGATGAAGCGCTGAGCACAGAGGGACTTGAAGTTGGCTTGTTTTTGGGAAAAGGAGTTGGCAGGAACTGGAGACAAGGGAAGATTGAGTTTACCTATAAAAGGGCAGTGCATGGGCTGAAAGGCTTGGCAGGTTCCTCAGGGTTTTTTATTTTAAGATACAGGAAGCTTCAGCTTACTTTCTGGTAACAGCAGAAGGGAGGGGAGAGAGAGCTTGCAAAGAAGAGGAAATTGAAAATGTCAGGGTTTTCAGCAATCCTTTCAGGATTGAGCTGCCAAGGAAGTGAAGCATGGGTCCCACAGCTGAGAGGGAAGTAGCTTCTGAGGAAAGAGAGAAAGCCTGTCTGACACAGGAACAGGGACGGCAGGGAGATTTCACCAGCCTCCTCCAGGTTGGAGTAAGTGGCATCAACACTGACCAGGTTGTCGGGTGATGTCAGGGGAGCAGTTTGGGAGGAGCAATTGGAGAAAGTAAAGGGATTGCCAGGAGCAGTGAAGGCCCCGTTGAAACATGACACAGTGAATGTGAGATGGGCCTGGGTCTACCTCTTCCTCCAGCAGGCAGGAGCAGAAAAAATGCAGAAATGGCCAAGGAGACCCACATCTGGAATTGAGTTGGTGCAGGAATGGGTGGCAAAAGGAAGGACAGAGTAGTTTAAGGTCAGCAGAGGCCCCATCAGGCCCAGAGAGGGTGAGTGGGCTGATTGGAGGGAAGGAAATGGAGGTTGGTGTGTAAGGCTCTGTCCTAGCACTGGGGAGGCCAGCACTGAACCAGACAGTCCCTCCTGCAAGGAACTTACCTTCTGGGGAGAAGGACTAGAGTGGGAAAGAGCACAGACTGGAGTCACTTCTTAACTCTGCACCTTACTAGCTCAGCGACCTTGAGTAAATCACTAACCTCAGGGCCTCAGTCCTCACCTATAAAGGGATAATAATGCAAACCCACTTTCTGGGGTTGTGAGGGTTATATCAGAGTACTTAGAGCTGGGAAAATACTTAGAGCTTAGCCACAAAAGTGCTTACAAGTGAAAACTGTGAGTGGTAGTATAGTAGTCTGCCCTTATGTGAATTCCACTGCAATCTGGAAATACTAAATTTCCCCAACCATCGGCAATGCCCCGCTCCTGATATCCCACCATCCACACCATCATGGCTTGATGCTCCAGGATCGCCCAAAGGAGATGATCCTCCTCCTGACATGTAGGTCAGTAGAACCTAACATTAAGTCACCAGGAAGCATTTATCATCTCACATCATCACTAAAAAGGTGAGTGCAGTACAATAAGATACTTTGAGAGAGACCACATTCACATAACTTTTATTATAGTATGTTATAATTGTCCTATTTATTGTCAATGTCTTATGGTGTCTAATTTATAAATTAAGCTTCATCGTGGGTTATGTATAGATAGGAAAAACTGTAGGGTTTGGTTCTACCCACCGTTTGGTTCGGGCATCCACTGGGGGTCTTGGAACGTATCTCCTGCTGATAAGAGGGACTTGTGTGTGACTATCAAACGGTGATAAGTGCTACGAAGAGGATAAGTTAGACTCTGTCCGCGTGCCTGGGTCAGGCGGAGGGACTTGCTTTAGCTGGAAGGTGCAGGAAGGCCTTTGAGAAGATGGCATTGGCACAGACAGATCTGAAGACAGCAAAGGCCCTGGGCAGGAATGAGAGTGCCTGGTGTGAGTGTACAGCGAGGAGAGCATGGTAGGAACTAGGACTAGAGAGGTGGCCAGGGCCAGCTGGATGGGACCTGACGGGACCAGATAAGGAACGGGACTTTCCTCAGGAATGAGACGTGTTGGAGGCTAAGCAGGAGGTGATTTGGTCCTATGGGGGCATGGGGAAGGTCTCTCTGACACTGTAAGGTTGGCCTGTAGGAACAGGAGTAGAAGCAGGGATGGGAGCTGCCCCCACAGTGTACATAGGTCAGGGTAATGAGCCATGTTCGATGGAACCCACCTGCTTCTCCCCAGGCAGCCAGGGCTCAGAGGGCATGGCAGCAGCCATAGGTCTTCACCATTGGTTGAGACCCTCTTGGCACAATGTCCTTGGCACGGTGCTGAGAAGACAGTTCTCAGCCCTAGAGGAGCAAAGGGTGCGATGGCGTCCAGGCGCCTGCTGCACAGAACAGCACTTGATAGACTTTGGAGCACTCTCCCTGCTCCCTGAGCTCCTCCCCAGGAGGCCTTGAGCCTGGGCTCTGACTCCACGGGTTCTCAGATCCTTCCTCTCCTCTGCATCTTGGTTTTCATGTAGGTTGCATCTCAGGAGGGGTCGCTTTTGCTCTTCATTCCATAGAAAGGAGAATAGCCAGTGGCTCCTACTCAACCCACACCCCCTCCTGAGCCTAGCTGCAGCCATTGGGCCCTCAGGACACCATCACATGCCTCAACGCCTATCACCCACGTGGGCCTCCAATCACACAGGAGTCTGTCTACCTGGAGACAGGTCTCTCCGTACTCCAGGCAGGGACAGAAGGAGACTCCCCGTCACAGGGGAAGGCAGGGGGCAAGTCACAGCTAAGGAGGTGGGGGGGCGGTCCTCACGTGTGGAAGTGGTTTGGAGTGTGCATGGCCCAACCTCGCCGCCAGCCACCTGGGATACTGACGCAGGACGGTCTTTGCTGTCAGGGAGCACGCGACCCAGTTGTGGGGACACGTGAGAAAACAAGGGTGTCCTGGCACTACACCATGCCCAACCCTCTGCTCTGGGCCTGTGTTCTTATAAGGGGGGTTTGCATTGTGACCACGCCCTGTTTTCTGGTGGGTGGCACCCAGGCTTCGTTTCCCTCGCCCAGGCTCTCTCATGGGAATCGAACCTCTGTGGCCTGTCCAGGCCTATCCTTGGCCTTTCCTCAACCCCCGCCAGGCTGTGCCCAGCATGTGGTTTGCACAGATGCCATGCCTCGTCCTTAGGAAGCAGTCCTTCCTAAAGGGCCTGCCCGCCTTCTGCTGCTTATTCTGCTCCCAACTCCCCACCCCTTTCCTCTGCCTCTTTTCCAACCTTTTGACCTTGGCTCTTTATTTTTTTCTTTGTCTCCATATCGCATAGTTTGGGCCAGAGGGCTGCTAGATGGTGGCATGAGGCTCTAGGAATGCCATCGATGGGGAAATAGCTGAAATGCTTTCCTCACCTCTCCCTCCTCACCCTCGCCCATGCAAAGTCCTTCACGTGTTTGCTCTGGCCTCCCCTCCTGCAGCTTACACCAACAACCGGGCCGACATCTCCACCCAGGGCTGGTTCATCGGGCTCATGTGCGCCATAGCCCTCCTGGTGCTGATCCTGCTCATTGTCTGTTTCATCAAGAGGAGCCGCGGTGGCAAGTACCCAGGTAGGATGTGTCCAAGGAGGGGGACTGGCCAACGAGCTTTCCTGTGAGTCACCAGGTCCGTTGCCAAATCGGGGGGCTCTGTTCTCAGTGAGCCGAACGCTAGCCAAGAAACAATCCTCTTGCCTGTTCTGTGCATCTCAGACCTGCCAGAAAGCTCTTGAGTTAATTAAGTTGCTTGAGTTGGGCGGGTGGAGCGGTCCAGGCAGCTCCAGAGAGGGCACGGGAGGAGCGCTGGTCTCCGTGAAGCATGACCCTCCTTCCCTGACTCACCATCCATCCATCTGCTCGGTAAATTGGCTCTTTTCAGGCCGAATCTCATTAGAACCCCGTGTCCAAGAAGAAGGAAGAGAGGTATATGCTGTAATCGTGAGAGAGAGGGTAGTGAGGAGGGTCTGGACAGAAGCAGCATAGCCAGGAGAGAGGCTGCAGCGTTGGGCTGTTGGCTCGGTTAGGACACCATGGCAGACATCCTTACAGGACAGCAGCTCCCACATGGGGAGCAGGCAGAGGCTGAGGGGCTGGATTGACAGGGTGCCTCCTCGCCCTTCAAGGGCTTTGGGCTTCCCAAAGGGGGAATTTCTCTTCTGTGGGCCTCAAGATCCTCCAGCCCAGACAAACCAAGGACAAGGACCTCTGGCGTTCTTGTTTCTGGAAACACTGTTTTCCAAGGGGCAGGACAGCCCTCTGTCTGCAATGGATTGGGCCGGGCGACAGGAGTCAGGGTAACATATGACCCTGAGAGTGAAACTGTCCCTTGCCCCCAATGCCCCAGTGGCTACACACACCCCGTGCTCCTAGGGCCTGCTTGTCTCCATCCTGGAGAACATATCCTTCTCCAGGACCCACCCACACTCAGAGAGCGGGCACTTCCTCCTTCCCGGCCCCGTGCCCTGCAGACCCCGGGACTCTGGAGCGCTGTGCCTCTCCTCGCAGTGAGGCAGGGCAGGAAGTCCTCATTCTTGTTCCTGTGAAGGATGTTTCTTTCACACTGCTGCGCTGTGTTGGGACTGTTTCTCTTCTGTAAGAGAGGAAGCCAGAGTCAGGGAGGTGGGTGGCCTTACTGAGTTCACGTCCCTGTTCCAAAAGGAGCTGGGCCCCCTGAAGAACTAACTCCTCGGGTGGACGCCCAGCCTTCCTTTGTCCCTGAGAAAGGGGCCCCGTAGAAAGCTGAGGGCACCAGGACCATGACGCCTGGGCCCTCGTCTGCACTCTAGACTCTGTTGCCAATTGGTTACGTGACATGTTCCTCACCTCAACGCCTGTTTTCCTCCCCTAAAATGGGGGTGCTTATCCTTTACATCCCAAAAAGGATAAAGAGCCATTCCTTCATGACCTGCTGGGTGCCAGGCTCTGTGCTGGGTCCTAAGGATTCTAGAAGGAAAGCATCTCCCCCTCAAGGACATGTCAGCGGGCAGGGAAGGAGGAGCACAGCACAAGACAGGGCCTTGGTGGATGTTTTCAAATCGCAGAGGTGCGGGGAGGAGCTTTGGAGGAGCACACGGTGGCCCACTCTCAGGGACAGAACTGGCATTTGTCACCGGAGTAAGAAACAACTACAACACAGAGCAGAGTAGGGAAGGTGCCAAAGGGAGGGTTTCACCCATGTGGTGGTTAGGGAAGACCTCAGGGAGAGGGATGGGGGCCAGTGGGGAGGAGCATTTAGTTGTGGGTAGAGATGTAAGGAAGCCCCTGGGGCAGTGGTCGGCAAACTGCGGCTCTCTAGCCACATGGCGGCTCTCTGGCCCCTTGAGTGTGGCTCTTCCACAAAATACCACGGCCTAGGCAAATCTATTTTGAAGAAGTGGTGTTAAAAGAAGTTTAAGTTTAAAAAATGTGGCTCTCAAAAGAAATTTCAATCACGTACTGTTGATATTTGGCTCTGGTGACTTATGAGTTTGCCGACCACTGCCCGGGGGGGGAAGATGAGGAAAAAGAGGAGGCGGGGGGGGGGGGGGAGAAACAGAATCAACTTGGCAGCTGATTCAAGTGGAAGCAAGAACAAGGAGGCATCGCTGTGCCCTGTTGAAAGGGAGAATGAGCCCAAAGGTGGTGTCTCCTGGCTCGGTGGTCAGGGCCCTTCAGAGAGAGACACATCGGTCCTCATGCCTGTGTCTTTGCTTCTCTTTCTGACCAAGTGCGAGAAAAGAAGGATGTTCCTCTCGGCCCTGAAGACCCCAAAGAAGAGGATGGCTCATTCGACTACAGGTGGGTGGCCTCCTTGGCTCCTGGAGGTACACCGTGCCCCCTGTTGGGTGGCTGGCCTCGCTGCCCTGAGCAGGGCCCTCCCCTCAGCAGTGGGGCATGACTGACGGCCACTGGGCTGAGGTCCTCCCCATCGCCCATTGGGCGGTCACCTCTGTCCTGGCAGCACCTGCTCATCCTGATTGTGCCGAACATGGCTACCCCCACACTGCCCAACACACGTGCACGGCCCCTTATCGGTCAGCTGCGCAGCTGAGATCAATTGGGCTCTTTTCACGTGTTCCCAGCTTTGTACTCTGAAAACAAGCCCGGGGGCCTCTGTGTTATGAAGTGAGCTGGGCTCTCGGCTCCCTCACTGCCTACATCCCATTCCAACCCTAAAGATGATGCCCTGGGGAAGCTGGATTGTCCTGGAGGGTGGGCTAGGTGAGGGGTAAAGGGCGCGAGTGGTAGTGGGGCGGGGTGTCCTAGTCCTTTTCCTCATGAACTTGAACAATATCTCTGGGCTGGAGGCTGAAATAGGCCTTAGAGAAGCATCTGGCCCAGGGACTGTCCCAAATGAGAGGACTGGGGCCCAGACTCTCGCATTCGCCACTTAGTGAGCTCGTGGCAGAGCTGGGAGGCCAGGGGCCCAGCACCCAGCTATTGCCCTTGTCCTACCCCATGCTCCTTCTCAGGTCTGGACAGGCCTTTGTGTCTGGCTTAGCAGAGTAGCAATCTGCCTGTTTTGACAGCAAATGTATTTTGAGTTGAACACTGTGTGGTGGGTCATTCCCAGACCAAGTGGGGCGGGAGGACACACTCTCATCAGAGCCCTCCTTCCCCACCGCAGCCAGTCACTCTCTGGGCCAGGTCATCCCTGTCCTCCTCTGACCTCCTTATCCCTCCCTGGGCCTCCGCCACTCTGGCACGCAGAGCAGATCAATGGGCAGCAGAGTCCCTGCCCACACTGGAGCCTGTCTGGCGGCTTAAGGATGACGTCCATCCACATCCTCATAAGCCTCCCAAAGGGCAGGCAGGAGAGGCCCCTCCCGATGGTCCTCAGGACCCTGGTGGGGCTCCCTCTCCCCCAGACCCTCAGTGTAGCCACCGAGGAGGGCGAGGCCCTCAGACACTGACCGGGCAGCCTGTGCTAGGAGAATGCGTTTGCACAGGCACCTCTCCTCCCCCAGACGCCAAAGCTGGTGGGCAAAACCCCTGCCTCCTCCCCCACCAACGCTGAGGTTGGATAAGCATGCACGGACCACGCACCCCCATGTGCACGCACACACCCCAGCTTTGGCTGGGGAGGGGGTGGGGACTGCAGTATTCATCCTAGATCCCCTACTGGGCTGAGTCCAAGAGTCCTAAACTGGGAAAGGGCTGGCATGTGTGCATCAGAGAAAAAGACAGGTTTCTAGGCGCACAGGCCCGGGGCAAGGGGAGCACCTCTGCCTACCCCCCCCCCCCCCCCCCCGCGTCTGCCTGCCCTCGGAGGGTTCTTGGAAGGTAGGCTGACAGGCGGCTAGAGCAGGGTCCCTGGTCATTCTGGCTTCTCTCATCTTCCCTTTGAGAGGTCTGTCCCTTCCAGACCGGGGTCCTCTTCCCTGCCTCCCACCCGGACAGGCCTCCCTTTCCTGTCCAGGGGCCACATGTTCCTTCGGCGCCTGCAATCCCCTCGTCACAGACACAACCTCGTGTTTCTGCGGGTGGGAGCACTGGGGAGGGAAAGCCTGTGAGAGCCTGGAGGCAGGGTAAGAATCTACTTGCTAGATGGGATGCAGCCCAATTTGTGAGTCGCTTAACAAAACCTATTTAGATCTTTGAATTCTTAAGAACTCTGCTAGGTCTCAAAAGGTGGGCCCCGCTTCCCGCGCAAACCCCAGAGCCCCACTTCCCGCAGTTGGCCCCCCTCCCGCAGCCCGGCCTCAGGGAACACAATGGGGTTATGAATGGGGCCACGATCACTCGTAGGTTGGGGGGGAAGTGGAGAGTGGGCTGATGGCTTTCCATCTGCTAATGCCCAGCACCTCCGCTGTCACTCGCGCCTTTTCGACAGCTGCCTTGGTGCAGCACTGCTGTTAGAGGCCAGACCGCACTCCCCAGGATAATGGCCACTCCGCCTGTTCCCTGCCCGCCTAGGAAGGAGTGTTGAGAGTGGCTTGGGGATCTGCGGAGGGAGGGGACGGTGTGTGTCTGCTCAGACTGCCTGGCACTGCTATGGTCCCACCTACCAGGACCCAGAGCCTCATTGCAGGTCCCCCTGCCTGGGAGCTGGTTCCCCTCTGAAGCGCCGCCAGCAACACCCAGCCCCCCTCTGAACCTAAAGGGCAGTTTCCCAGCCGGGAGAGGGATGTGGTGCCCGAGCAGATGCTGGCCCACTCGGGGGCCTCACCTGCTGGGGGACCGCAGCACAGTGGGCAGCTGCCTCTCACCACCAGCCTCCAGCCCTTCCGGAGCTGCAGGGTCCTTTGAACGGTGTTTCTGGTCTCACCTGTTCATCTGCATGTCACGCCCTCTTCCACTTGCTAGCCTGAAGCAACAGCATCTGTTTGTAGATAAACCAGAGAGGGAGAGGGGGAGGGAGAGGGAGAGGGAGGGAGAGAGGAGGTTTGTTTCTTTAAGGTCCAGACCCTGGCTTTCTGTCAAGGGCAGAGCCTTTCCAGACAAAGTCACACATCATCCCTGGCCGGTAGCTCAGCTGGTTATCATCCTGACTCGCCAAGATTGCGGGTTCCATCCCCAGTCAGGGCACATACAAGAGTCAGCCAAGGAATGCATAAATAAGTGGAACAACAAACCTCTCTCTTTCTCATCAATGAATAAAAAAGCTTAATAATAAAAACCTGAAGTCACAAATCACCGAGAGTCAAAATAGTCCAGCCCCTCTTGATGGAGAGGCTGAGAGAAGGGCTTGCCCATCCTGACTCCCCATCCGCCTGGCCTCCCAGCAGTTGGCTCTGCCCCCTCCAGGGTGACAGTCCTCTGCCTGCTCCCACCCATCCCAGGGAGAGGCCCAGCCCCATGGAGAGGACCCCAGACCAGGAGTCCGGTGCGGGCTCCTGTCCCAGCACTGCACCAGCTTCCCACCTCACTTGGAGAAGCTGCTTGGCCTCCGGGCCCTAGTTTCCCATCTGGACGGGGAGGGCTAGACTGGGTGGTCCCTGGGGACCAGAACTCTCGGCGCAGTGTAGCCCATAATGCCAGTGCATGGCAAGAGGCCCCAGGGTGTGGGCAACACTGGGCTGGGCCAGCTCTGACTCCCTGACTCTCTCCGGCCAGTGACGAGGACAACAAGCCCCTGCAGGGGAGCCAGACGTCGCTGGACGGCACTATCAAGCAGCAGGAGAGTGACGACAGCCTGGTGGACTATGGCGAGGGCGGCGAGGGCCAGTTCAATGAGGACGGCTCCTTCATCGGCCAGTACACGGTCAAAAAGGACAAGGAGGAGACCGAAGGCAACGAGAGCTCAGAGGCCACGTCGCCCGTCAACGCCATCTACTCTCTGGCCTAGCGGAGCCCGGGTGCAGCCACTGCTTTCCAAGTGGGGGGAGAGGTGCGGGGGCGACCGAGCTGCCTCTGCCTCCGTGGACAGGGGTACAGTGTGGGGGTCTGCCAAGCTGTGAGGACCACTGACCGCCCAGCCAACCATACGCCCCCTCCCCACAACCCACACGCCAGGTGCCATTGGTGGGGGAGAGCCTGAGCCACGGCCGAGCTCAGCCGGAGGGCACCCGGGCCCCTGCGCAGCCTCTCGGCCGCCCTGAGCCTTCCCCCCTGCACTGCCTGCCCTCGACCTCAGCACACACTCACCGCTCCCTGTCGGTTCTGGTACTTCTCGTTGCCTTTGTTTTTGCTTTATGCATCTTCCCCTTCGAACCCAATGTCTCCGCTTTTCTTTCCTCCTGAAGTATCCCTGGGAAAAGAAAGAATAGGTGGATTCTCTCTTCCCCACCCCCCCAAAAAATGATGGGTGAGAAGTTTTGGTCCATAAAAGGACATACAGAAAAGCCGCAGTATTCCAACCGCGCGGGCCAGTGACTTCGAAGGAAGCCTTTCTCGCCGTATGCCTCCCCATGCCCGCAACCCATCGCCTCGGCCTTGACAGTTGCTGAGCTGGGCTTGGCTCCTTTTCTGGAAAAACGACAGTATTTTTGGCAGGGAGAGGGCGGACAGGGCTTCTTGCCCGGCTCTGGCTCAGCCGGGAGGTGGGCTACCTCTTGCTCCTCCCTGTCCCTGCCCGATCCTCCAGAGTGTCCGGGACAGAGCTGCACTGACTGATGGAGGCGACTGAGGAGCAGGAGCGGGCCTTGATGGCAGGAGCTCCCACTCCAGTGACTGGGGACCTCACGCAGCAGAAAATCAGGCACCCGGTCCCTGGGGAGCCGTGCTCATCTCGAGAGAGGAGAAAAAGATTGGGCTTGGACTCCTTCCTCCCCATCAGGGACACCCAGGCCTGGCCGTGAGGACCACACCCACTGTCTCCCAGAGGAGAAGGTGCCCCCCACCTGGCCAGGGCCTGCGCCGTGCCCTCCAGGAGTTGGGGTCTTGGGGTGCAGAGGCTTGGCTGGTGTTCCAGGGGGTGTAAAGCACTGCTCCCCCTTCGCCTCTACAGCTGTCATCTCCTCGGACGGTTCTCTATAACATTGCAACTGTGCAGATGGGGCGTCCTTCTCGTAGGGGGTCCCCCTGTTGGCCCCAGTGGGACAGCCCCCGAGCTGGCTGGAGGACTCGGTGCGCCTCTCTTTGTATGCCTTATGCAACTCCCCCGTGTCCCTGCGGTCCCGGGCGCCTGCCCTCCCTGCAAGCCACAAGCCTCCAGCCTCCAGCCAGGTCTGTCTCCAGGAGAACGGGCGGCCTGTGCAAGCATCACAGCAGAACTGGAAGCAACTGCTTCACACACGCCCTGCGGCCCGTGGCCCAGAGGAGACATTCGCAGACCTGCCTGCCGGGCTCTGAGTCTGAGGCCCTGCCTTCGTCCACCCCGCTAAGCCGCTCTCCAAACCAAAGGTACCTAGTCTCCGCGGAGAGAGCTCAAGGCTGAGAGGAAGCTTTAGCTGCCGCTGCAGCTCGTGTCTGGTTCAGGAGGGGAGGCGCTGACCCTGGGATGGGCCTCCCACCACAGGCACAGCCTCTGAGTTGAGCCTCCAGCTGCTGGGCGGGGGCCTGGGCAGGAACGGGGCTGAGTCCTCCAGAGACTTCCTTGGAGCAGCTTTTGCCACGTGTATGAGCCACAAAGGTATTAGCTATGCCCGCATCACGTAGGGACCAGTCGGTGAAGGTCGAGCCCGCAGACACACATACTCTGTCTGTGGGTAAGAAACCGTAGCCCAGAGCTGAGCCAGTTGTTTGTTTGAACCTGGAAATCACGGGCAGGTTTGCTACGGAGAAGCCCAAGGGGCAGCGCTCTCCTGGGGACAGGGACAGGGTGGCTAGCAGGGGGTTGGAGGGTGAGCTCAGGGGTCCCCTCCCCTGGCCTCCCTCTGTCATCTGCCCGGACACAGCCGGGTATTCCTGCAGCCTGGACCCCAGGGAAGGGATGCCAGGGAAGAGAGCCTGTGGCCTGCATGAAAGGACCGGCCTTTTCAGAAAACACCGCGTCTGGGTGAGATCGTGTCTCAGGCCCTGCGTCCATACTGCACCACACTCACCAATGAACTTACTGCTCCGGAAAGTCTCTTAGGGGAAGCAGGACTGTGAGACGTCACCGGGCCCATCCCCCTGCTTCTCCACAGCCTTCTGCACAGCTGGGGGCCAGGGAAGGGCCCCGCTACCCTGGGTCTTGGGGAGCAGGGGTTCCTCAGCCCATCTTCACTCCTCATTTATGCCCTCCTCGGCTCTATATGACCCCTCGCCCACACCACCAAGCCACCATGGCAGGCAAGAGCAGACCTGGGCCTGAAGAACCGTTTCCCCCAAGCACAGGTGGCAGGTGCTCAGAGAGATACGTGGGTCAGGGTCAAGGTCAGGGAGGCAGCCCTTCCAGGGAGAAGGAAGTCCATTTTTCATGGCACGGTGCCAGAATCCACCCAGCTCAGCAGGAGAAAAGTATTGTCCCCACTCCCTGCCAGCCAGGGCTCTCTAACAGTCACCCCAAAACACCCAACCACCATGCCGGGAGAGGGCGATACCATTGGTGCTTCGGCCTGTCTGGCTGGGGGGCCCGGAGTGGGGAGAAGTGTAGGTCATCTCACCGTGACTACAAGTTCATTGCCTGTTCTGCGATGATCGCTCAGCATCTACTCTTTTATGTTTTTATTGATTTAGAGAGAGAGAGATCCATCAATCAGCTGCCTCCTGCACATCCCCCACTGGGGATCTAGCCTACAACCTGGGCATGTGCCCTGACCGGGAATCAAACTGGCAACCCTCGGTGCATGGGCCAACGTTCAACCAACTGAGCCCCTCTGGCATCTCCTCTTGAACATTGACGGTGAGCCGGGCTCTGAGCTGTGAATACCACGGTGAAGTCGGGTATGGCTCCTGCCTTCTCGGGGCTGCCGGCCAGTGTCCGGTGAGCATCCGGATGGCTGCCCCCACCCCCACCTGGCCTAGCTTGGGACAGAACGGCATTGGTTGGGAGCCCTCTGAGCGTGTGAGCTGCCAGTGACCCAGGCTCAAAGACAGAAGCTTTAGAGAGAGGCCTTGGTCTGCAAATCTGGGCAAGACAGGGCATCCAAACCCCCGGGGGAGCTGAGGGGCAGCCTGCCTCCTGAGCCTCTGCCCCTTGGACAAGTGTATTTTGGTGCCTCAGTCTCCCCTAATCAGTCCCTGGTTGAATACCTCTCCCTAAGGGGGGCATGGGCCCATCTGGGGAGCAAGGAGGCCAGTGTCGGAGGAGCATCCGCTGTAGGGCCAGGGGAAAGCTGCCCCCCACCTTGCCTGGCTTCCGGAGGATGGGACCAGTTCTCTCTTGCCTGGCTTTTGAGGAGAGGGCTGAGTGTAAGCCCAAGGGGAGACCAGACTGGCTCCTTCCCTTGTCCATTGCCTTTGCCTGCGAGGTTGGAGGTATCGGGTCCATTCCCTTCCCCCCGTCCCAAGGTCCAGAGCCAATACTGCTCGCCCTGCGAGCAGAGTGTGCACTGCTGGCAAATAGTTCCATCATTTCCCTGAGCGGCTGGCCTTTGCAAAGGAGTGGAAACAGACCCAGGAGTCTCTGTGGGTTTCCCAGCTAAGGGACTGCTCCCCATCCCCACCCAGCACCCTCACGTGGGCTCAGCCTCACGTGGACACACACGGCAGACAGAGGCCACATGGCGGGCGGCTCCTGGGGAAGAGAGATGCAGATTGTGAATGACATCGTCTCGGAGAAGCTGGGTCCACACCCAGGCCCGCGGGAGAGGAGATGTGAAGGGCTGTGTGGGGTGCAGGGTGCGATCTGGAGCAGAAGAAAGGCTGCTCCGCCCGGGCCCCCTCTGGGCCACTTCAGAGGGCAAAACCAAGCGAGAACAAGTCTGATGCAAAGGAGAGGGAGCCCACCCCGGGCACAGCGCAGGCAGTGGCCCTTTAAGGCGCCGGGAACCTTCGCAAGGTCAGAGCCGAGTCACAGAGCGGCGCAAACAGCGGAGACTGACGGAGGGGGCCGTGCCCTGCCGGGGCCTGTCTCTGCCAGGCTGCTTCCCTCTCACTGAAGAGGGGAGGTTTCGGGCTCTTGGGCAGCAGGGGCTGGTGCCAGGGAACCACTCCTCAGGGCGAGGGTGGCAAGTGCCCGCAGTCTAGGCACCGAGCGCTCCCCACTCGTGACACCGTGATCAGGAAACACGGGTCCCCTAGAAAGAAAACGCCCGGCCGAGCCCGGCTGAGCTTCGCCCGGTGACTTAGGAGTAGCATGTAGGAGGTGTCTGCGGTGTGTGTGTGTGTGTGTGTGTGTGTGTGTGTGTGTTTTTAAATCAAAAGTCAAACAAGTGAGACAGTTTGAAATGACAGGAGACTCGGGGTTCTGGGCAGCCCGTAGCCTGAGCAGCAGCTCCCTTCTCTCACCCCATAAGCAGGCTTCTCTGAGACAGGCTCAGAGGCGGGTTCTGAGGGAGACCCTCCAGGGAAGCCACAGCCCCACCAGACACACCCCAAATCAGGGCCCCTCCGCCAGTGCATTAGTATTAAATGGTGTTTCGAAGTAAGGGTGGGTGTGAAATAGGGGCAGCAGCCTCCAGCGCGGGATGGGGCTCAGATCTCCGTGCATGGAGGCATCAGAGCTGATCTCACTGAAATGACCCATCGCACAGACAAGGACGCTAACATCCAGGGAGGTGGAAGGGTTTGCCCAGGACCACACAGCCAGGGATCAAGGGGAGGCGAGGGCTTGAGCTCAGACCCTCGAACTTCCTGTCCAGTGTTCTTGCCTCCTCCCCCCAGCTGCCTCCTTGGAAACAGGGGTGCTCCTTAGCTCCGCCCTGCTGGTCACCCTCTGTACCCCTTTCCTGTTCTCCCCCACCCCCCACCGTGAAAGACACAAAGGGTTTTTCTGAGTCCAAGGCCAGCCAGTGTGTGCCAGCCTGTGGTGGTGAGGGCAGACCCAGGCCAGGAGAGGGGTGACGAGGTGACTGGCGTTTGTCACTGTGAAGCCCAGACTTGCCTCTTGCGCGTAGCACATGGACCCCCAGTGCCCCGTGTCCCTCGGAAGCCACTCTGTCCACCCCACCCTTGGCCTCGAGGTGCACGGGGCAGCAGGACCCTGGGAAGCTCTGCCACCCTGGGGTTGGCTGGGCGGCAGCACAGGTGAAGACTTCAGCGAAGCAATAAACACAAAAACCTGGGAAAAGACACCCAGGATTTTGTGCACTTTTTCTCCCCCCCAAAATGATGCAGATCTGACGACCCCGCTCCGCTTTTTTTTTTCTGATCCTCAAATGCAACCTCTCCAGTCAGTGTTGTCCCTCCACCCGGCTCCCAGCTCTCTGCCAACCCCACACCCCTCTGAGCTGAGCATCCGTCGCCAGGGACGTGGCGCCTCCTGTCCTGGTCCCACCTCCGCCCCGCGCGGGACCATCCATCCCAGTTTGTTCCTTTCGGCGGGAAAATGTTTCCCCCATGTCTCCATCCCTCCTCACGTGCACACGCCCACCGATTGTCTGGTCTTTTGTCCCCGTGGGTTAGAGACGTAACTCGCCGTGGCAGGCCTTGTGTTAACCCCTCTCACACTGCGTTCGTTCCTTTTCTGTGAGTTACTTTGCATTAACCAGCCCGGTCAGCGACGGATGCGACTGAGGGTGACACGCACGACCTTCAGCGGGGAAGGCGTCTGGGCCATGGAGGACCCTCTAATACACGGACTTATAAACTGACTGCATGAGCAACGGAAAGGCCAAAATTACCGGAATTTTTGTTGAATCACTGTAAAAAAAACTGATTTCTTTTGTATAGAGGACACTAAACATATAATAAAAGTTGTTCAAAATGGACCCTGGCCATGTAGGTGTGCGTTTTCCTTAGTGGGCGGGAGAGGGGTGTCGGGGTTAACAACAGGAACAGATCCAAGGGTTTTTCGTGGGAATTCTGTGGTCCCAATCCCCCCCCCCCTTTTTTTTTTTAAATATGATACATTTTATTGATTTTTTTACAGAAAGGAAGAGAGAGGGATAGAGAGTTAGAAACATCAATGAGGGAAAATCATCATCAGCTGCCTCCTGCTGCCTCCTGCACACTCCCCACTGGGGATGTGCCCGCAACCAAAGTACATGACCTTGACCGGAATCAAACCTGGGACCTTTCAGTCCGCAGGCCGACACTCTATCCACTGAGCCAAACTGGTTTCGGCCAGCCCCCTCTTGAACTTGGTCTCATCCAAGAACATTGGCGCAGTTTGTCTTAAGCAGAGTGACAGGATGTGTCCGGCGTGGAGACACGGGATTCCATAAGGCTGCCCATGTGCTCAGACCCCACGGAGAAGGCGCTGTGAAGGGGGCTGGAGGAGAGAAACACGCACAGCCGCTCTCCCCCCGCACCCCTGCCCTCAGATGAGAGAGCACCAGCGAGTGCCCTGCACGGGGCCTTGGCACAG